CTGGCGCTAGACAACAATACCACGGCCGCCTTTAACACCAGGCCGCGACCTTCGAAGTGGCAATGTCGCAAGTGGCAAGTGGTGTTGTAACACAGCTGTTTTGTTTGCAAACAGCTAAATGGTATTTGTGTATTTACGAAAGACTAGTGCACCTGTTGCTCGAATTCGGGCATTTGAAAAGTGTTAAAGAGTGAAAATTTAAAAACGTACGTTTTCAGGAAAAGCGCTTTGCAAATGTTTTTCCCCTTTTTTCAAAACTTTTATTATTTTTTTAAATTTCATTAACATTTTAACTTTCATAAAATGTCCATGGTAACGCAATATCTTTGGTAGTTTTTTTTTAAAGAGCATCTTTAGTGGAAAAACACAAAATCCTGTCACGACCATAACGGACGTTTAAATGAATATTAAAAATTGTTAATATTATTTTTATAACTATGTTTTGCTATAAACTAATTTACTTTTATGACCATTATACAATAAAAAGGTCACTAAGCTTTTGGTATATTTGGTCTTTCCAGAAAAAATAAATAACCTCAAAAAATTGAAAAAAAGCCAATAAAATCTTTTTAAATTTGTATAACTACGAAAAAACTTACCTGAGACCCGAAAAATCGTTATGTTTGTATAGAGGTGTGCTTCTTTTGTGTATAAAACATTGAAATATGACGATATTTTAATTTTTGAAATTGTTATGATAGAAATCATAAACGTGATGGTCAGGGACAAGCGGTACGATCGTGAATTGTCTGGAATAATCTAAATCTTTCTAAACAATCCTTCAATTATACTGTTAGTTATATAATAAAAATATGTGTTTCAATTGAACTAAACTGTTCAATTTACAATTATATTAAAGTTATTGTCACGACCAAACACACTATAATCCATAAGGCTGGATTGGTCGTGAAAAAACCTGCAATGGTCGTGAAATTACGTGTTATTTGGCTCTGTTCTGGCAGTAGCCCTGCACCTCATGTTCGAGGATACAATACAAAGTGGACTTCTAGGTTAATCTAGCAATTGAAATGTCTTATAAACAAAAATTAACACCATGTCTACTTCATTGAATGACTACGTACGGTCATGGACACACCAAAATTACAAAAAACACAATCTTTCCTTTATTAATCTTGTAATTCCTCCTTTTAACTCGAAACGACCGGAACTACAATCCTGACGTACACTCCGAACTAGTCTCTCAAACCAACTGACTCCAGGCTTGCCACTGTCGTGCTCCAAAGTTGAAAATTTTTCCCAAATGGTCGTGACGCCATATCAAGGGACAGACTTGTTTTATCATGGTAGTCAGTTTGCAATGACAATAAAATTATAATATGCTCCTTTTTTGTAAGTTTAATAACCATTAGGCCTAATGACATAAAAAATATGGCTTTATATATTTCGGCATGAATAATTAGTCTAAAAACAGCGTGAAAGTTGGAAAATGTACCCTAGGGACACGTCATGGTGGTGAATTTCGAGACTTTAAAAATACGAAAAAAATACCTAGAACCTATTTAAAACCAAATAAATGTGTGTAACATGTTGCCCCCGTCCCAAAAAATATTAAAACATATAATAATAAACTACAAATCCAGTATCTACGAAGTAAAAGGCCAGGGACATGAAAACGTACGTTTTTAAATTTTCACTCTTTAGTAAATCCTCATATCCCAGAAAACTCTTCAAGTATATGCTGGCAAAATATTGTCAGGAGAATGAATTAATTTTTGAATTCCAAGTAAATTTTGGAATGTACCAACCTCATTAATTGCGTTTAAGCTTTATCCTACCAATGTTAACAATAGAAAAGCTAAAAAATGAGTCAGGGTAGGTTTTGCCTCCCATCGAATTTAGTTCCATTGCCAAGCGGCGGATCTAGTAAGCTTTAGTTCACGAGTAATAGTACTCGAGTATCGCCGATTCGGTATCGAGTCGACTCGATACTTCATTGGACTCGATACTCAACGAGTCAAGTACTCGACTCGTCACATCACTAAATGGGACATTTCCAAAAAGCGAAAATACTGTAAATTGGCTGTCACGTATATATTGACGTTTACATATTGTTAATTAACGTATCTTATAAAGGATTATGTGATCTAGTTTAAAAGGAACATGACCTTTCTGTCATGACAGTAGCTGCTTAAATAGTATTTCCTCTTTAACCATCTTTTACAGCCAAAATGTCGTGTTATTTTCAAAAATGTTACCAAACCAGTGCACTAAAGTCCGTAATATAGGCGGGTACAAATAATTTGTCAAGATGAGTACCATTTTAGACTAAGTTTCTATGTTTGGATTTTATTAGACACAATAAGAGCAAATATAACCCGTACAATAGATATAAGATAGTTCAATAAGAAATAATTTAAGAATTGCTGTGATAAAAGGATTTTCCACTGATTTCGTAATTGAATGTTGTATTGCAAAACATGAAATGATAAAAAAGAAAATCAATTTTAAAATCAGAAAATAACATTGCAAATATTTATTTGGTAGAATTCAGTGAAATACAATTTAAAAATGAACAGCTGTTTCATTAAAAAGTATTATTCACATGGCCAAAATGTAAACAACTCTGTGGAGGGATCTTTAAAGGATCTGGGGCAGAGTCCTAAGGAATTTTGGTTAGGTTTTTTTTAATACCTCATCTACAGACCAAGACCTTTCTTTGGACACCTCTACCAAGTTTTTACGCCCAGCCCAGCCGTTCTCTCAAATTAGTGGGGACAAAGTTCCCAATTAATATTTAGATTCCCCTATGTTAATCTTATGGGAGAAACTCCATGTACAACGGCTTTGATGCTAGAATCCACAGTACCTCTGGTCGTAAAGATAAATGTTGTAGTAAAACTATCTCTATTTCTAAATTTGTCCCTCATTTATTTAAATCATACTCATTCAAAGAGAATTAATGGGACGCAATAAGCTGAACAATTCAAATATTTATGTCACTGTACGGTAAAATATTACTGTTTTAGAACATTTTGTTGATTACCTAAATTTCCGTTTACGTTACAAGATTTATAACTGACACAAAGTAACTTTGATGGCCTGTGGGGCAAAGCCCGAAGATTTTTATTACAGGAATTGGTGAAAGGGGGCGTCTACACAAAAAATACTTTATTTTGACACGTCGTTTGTAAAAATCCGTCCATTATTAACGGAGGAGTAGTGTTTCGTAGAAATCGCCTTCACGTATTATTATATAAGGATTCTTCCAAAATGTAAACATTAAAAATTTGGAAGCCGATGGGGCGTAGCCCAAGGGAAATATTAAAATAAAATGATATAATATTGCATTGTCCTCCATTTGTGAACTATGTTTTAAGTCCTCTAGCACATCGGGAAGTTGGTTTAAAATTGATTGCAAAATTTTTACCCGACAAGAAAGGGAGCTAATAAAAACGTTTTAAAATTATTGATGATTATGACAGGAATTATTTATGAAGCAATTTGTTGGGTAGGCGTAAATATATTTTTTTTATTCCAGTTTAAATTTTTTATTGTTTATTTTTGGTCTAGAACTGATATTCTAGGGCCAAAACTCTTTACTAACTCCTCTCAAGCTCTGGTCTTTTAATCAAATTGTTGACCTGAAAGAATGGATCAGTCACCCAACTATATCAAGATTATTAACTGTGTTCTACAGTTTGAATGCAATAATCCGATATTTGTCAGATATAGGTACTTGTAATATTACAAAATAATAATTTCATTGTTAGTTGTAAGTGGGTACTTAATTACAATTGCCTGGACGACGGGTAGTCAAAAATGGTGCTCTAGGTTGCCAGTTTGAACCTGATAAAAGTCAGTAGATTGTTTATGATTCGAATTAAACTGGACCCAGCTGTTCCTGATCATTTTGGGCTTGAAAAATAAATTATCAAAATGATCAAAATAAATGATAAAATGAAAGAGCTGAACTTATATAGTCACTAGTCAGTAACAAAGCTATACTAACCGCTCACACCATTCTACAGTCTACACTCTTTCACACATATTTGGGTTGGATATGCACCTAGTTAGCATTAAGACTAGGTGAAACCCATTAAATCGACGGTTACTTCATGGCTTAAGCTAATTCATCTAACTGCGATGAATCAAAATTGTCAAAATTTTAAACATTAAGCTTTGTTTAATGAGTAATAAATAAGTTTTGAAAATAATAATGACTATTGAGCAAGTTATAAAATATGTTTTGATTATTCAATGAATACCTCATTGGAGTAATTATTACTATATTAACAGGTTTCATCTCCTTTTTGAAGAACATTTAGATAGTATTAAAATCGTGTGGATGGATCTTTTGCTTTTGTGGTAAACACTTCCGCGATTTCGTCAGTGCAAGGCAGATTAAATCTCATATTTTTATTTAAGAAAAAATATCTGTTGAGAAGGCACGTTCTTACTTTAAAGCTCCGTCTACCTTAAGCTGTTCATTTTCTCTTTATTTTGTGCCAAGGAATCACACTGCGCAAATTATGTCTCCACTCCCTTTCTTGAACACCCTATATTCAAAACTTTTGTTACTACTATCACTATACACTACAAACTAAGTAGGCATATTTATTTATTAATTTAGTTATCTACCTGCAACTATCTAAATTTATACTACACATAGTTTTGTTAGGGACAGATTATGAAGGCAACAACAGTGAAATGCTACACAATTATATATTGTCCAAATATACGAATTACAAAGTATTTTATTGATTAATATATTCAAATTACAAATCTTTACTCTTAAGTGTTAACAATACATTTTACACTTTAACTAGCTATAATATAAGGTGGAAAAATGTTATATACCACCATTACCACCTAATCTTAAATTAGTATCATTATAAACAAATAGTCAAACAATTAAAAATACAAATTTAGATATTAGCAGAAGCAAAGGAATTTCTTTAATCCAAATGCAACATATCTACAAACCATTAATATATCTCAATCTTATGCTACATTTTTTAAATTAAATATCAATCCAGATATCAAATGAAAAAGTTAGTGTATTTTAGTAAGGTGGGAACAATTTATACTACCCATTTCATTGTTAATATAATTAATTTCTTATAGCAAAAACTGGTTTATATGGTGGACAGACCTTAAAATTAAATGTCCAGCCAAGTATCAAATCAAAAATTTTACTATAGTTATATAATCATTCTTTTGGTTCTAAAGCCATTTTCAAACAGCTTCCAAAAGCTTCAAAACTTGGGACATTCCGAGCGCCAGTTTTCTTGTTGCTGGGAAGCTCTGTTTGTACCAGACGTTTGTCTTCTTTCTCTACCAGTTACTGACGAATTACTAGTTGATTTATTCCTCCCACTTGTTTCTTCGTTATAGTTCACCCTGTTTTCCTGCCTTGAAGCTCTGAATTGTCTTCCGTTGTTACGATATCCAGAAGTGAAATCATCAGACTTTTGTTCTTTCCTGCTACTTGTTGATGCTGTGTGATATCTGGTTTTATCTTGTTTCACACGACCTTGATCTTGATTGTCTAGACTTTGCTTGATTTTATTTTGTTTGGTCCTTTCCCAGCTTAGGGTGGTGGATGCTTCTTTCAAGGCTTTACTCAAACTTACACAATCATGTTCGGTTTCTAAAAGGTGGGGATTGTTATTTATTTTATCTAAGAATTTAATCATTGTCTCGTCTCTTTGACTTTCTTTAGTGTTCAGGATTAGTTCTTGTAACACCTTGTACATGTTGAGGGGTCCTCTGACAACAAACGAATAGCTGTAGAACTTCTGAAAAACATAAAATTTTCATAATAAATTACGGTACTAAATAAATGAGTTCAAATTTGAAGGGTGCAAACAGAAACTTATTATTTAATGTATGGTGGTAATGCACTATCTTACAAGACCATAAAGAACAACCGTGTAATGAGTTAAAACATGGTCGATGCTCACTCCAAGACAAAATCCAGGAGGATGTAAACAATTTCTTCTCCCTAAAAACATTGATGCTTATAATAAAATGACTAAACAATATTATCGTATTTAGGGCCGCGTTAAGGGTCAGTGGAGCCCTGGGCAAACTCAAAATCAGTGCCCCCCTTTTTTCCTAGTGCAAGTGGGCAGTAGTTGTACGCCCACCAGGCGCCCCTCAACCACCGGCGCCCCTGTGCATACTGTCCGCGCGACTAAAGAAGTCCCCTGAGCTCCAGCCTATTCGTAGTTTGAAGGCGTTACGCTTGAACGTTTCGCGCGACAATTACTGTAGAGCCATCTTGACGCTGCGCTGCTAGTTTTAAGGCTTAGTTTTTGTATTTTATATCTGTATGATTTTTTTTTAAATCTATGTCATTATATTTTTTTGCATGGTCATACAATCGAAGGAAACCCATTTTCTAGTGTTACTAAGGCAAATTTATGATTTTTGTTTAGTTAAATGTAACAATACCAATAAAATACAATACAATAAAATCCTTTTTAAATCCGAGTTTGAAAGCATTAATCCCAAATAATTAGTTGATTCATGAATATACTTATGGTGAATGCATATTACCAGTACATAATATAAGTACACGAGTAGAGTCTACAGCAGTTCCAATAGCATTCATCGCAATATACAGTGTTGGGGAAGCTACTTTTAAAATGTAGCTAGCTACAACTACTACTACATTTCCAAAAAAGTAGCTTAGCTACAGCTACAGCTACAGTTCCGAAAAAGTAGCTAGCTACAACTACAGCTACAATGAAATGTAGCTATAGCTACAATTTTAGCTACTTTTCCAAAGACGTTACTTTTTATTCCATGCACATTAGGTAAATGTAAAATTAATTGCAACTATATAAACCTAACATTACAACAACAGAACCAAAATAAGTTAGTTGGGTGTTCCATCATATTTAGTACTTATTTTTAAATCTATATATTAATTTGAAACTGTTTTTCTTTGTCACAGCTATTTTGAGAGAACGGCTGGGCGTAGAAACTCGGTAGAGGTGTCTAAAGAAAGGTCTTGGTCTGTAGATGAGCCATCAAAAGAGAAACATGGTGAATTCCCTTGGGGCTCTGCCCCCGTGGCCTTTAAGTTCCCATCCCATGTTATTCTTATGGAGGAAAACGGGGTTTTTGTCACAGCTAATTTGAGAGAACGGTTGTGCGTAGAAACTTGGTAAGGGTGTCTAAAGAAAGGTCTTGGTCTGTAGATGAGCCATCAAAAGAGGAACGAGGTAAATTCCCTTGGGGCTCTGCCCCAGAAGCCTTTAAAGTTGCCTCTTCAGATTTGTTTACATTACGACCATATGCATAATTCTACACTACTTTTTAATGCAACAGCTGTTTATTTAAATTGTGATTTATTGAATTTGTCAAAATGAAGTACAGCATTTGCAATGGGTTTTTCTGATTTTAAAATTGATTTTCTTCTGAATCGTGTCATGTTTTGCAATATAATGTTCTATTACCAAATCAGTGGAAAATCCTAATATCACAGTAACTTTTAAAATTATTTCTTATGGAGTAAACTTATATCTATTGTATGGGTTGGTGTCTGCCTTTTTTACCACTTCATGGAGATTGTACGTAGGTGATATTCTTTGGCATATTGCATCTGTAGACGAAACTTGGGTTGGTGTAATTATTACAATGGAAAAGAGCGGGAAATCCTGGACAATTTGATATAAGCTAAAAACAAAACTGAATTAACACTGTGCTGTAGCACAGTCTACATATTAAAATGTATTTCTTGAGCAATCATTGAAATAACCGATTTGCAAACAATGGAAACATAGAAAAAGTCATACAACACAACCAAGTAGAAGAAATAGAAATAATGTTTTTTTTTTTACACTAAAAACACTAAAAAAAGATCAGCTTTTTGAAAAAAGATAGGATATGTACAAAAGATTTTGATTATATCTAACTGTTGTGTAGATCGTGAGTATTTCCATAATCTTTGAGTCGCCTGTAATGCTTCGCAATTGCTCGAATTCGAGCAACAGGTACACTAGTATTGCATTATTTGTAAGCATCTTATATATGTAAATTTCATTAAGTTCAAAGGACATACAACCAAACTATATTTTAAAAGCTCATTTTATTTCTTTAATATAGATTCATTTATAGATGTCTTATATCAACAATTAAGACCAATAAAACTGTAAAACGATTATTTAAAAATACTTTTTTGTGTAACAGAGCCTAGCCTACTGAAATTGGAGTTTATTGCCTTTTTTTACTTTTAATGTTAAACACGACATTGCTATAACTTTTAACCATAGTGATAAGTTACTTTTGTTCTATGAATAACACTTTTCAATGTCAAGAAATCGTCCTTTATTGTCATTATGCATAGGGCAAATTGCGCTTCAACCTAGTTGGTACAGAAAACAGTATTCAGCAACCTATTCTGAAATCGGCTTTTGATTTAAACATGTTGAAATTTGTAAATTAAAAATAACAAATAACCTACTTGGCCTACTTGGCTATGTAACAAGTTGGCTATAGTAGGCTTGTTCTTTCAAGGACTAAACAGATATATTTCTAATAATTGAACTTGGAACTTGGTATTCGTCTTAAATCATAGCATAGCCTAGGAATAGTCCTATACAAGAGCTGTTAGCAGGAGTAAACTATGCTATTTTTTCAATCTAAGTTTCATGTTATATGGAGATTTTTTCGTTACAATTATCATGTAGCCTAGGCATATCTTAAATCTCATCAGGTAATTTCCTCTTTGTTAATTTAGTAAGCCTTTGAAAAATCTTCGTAATCTAACCAAGGAAGGGCTTGTGATGATGAACCACAAATCAACAGCTGAAGCTAGACCAGCTTTCTCATTATTTTAAGGTTTAGTGTTGGTTTCCATTAAAACCCAAGTTGAAACACTATCAATATAACAAAGAAACTAAATTGATTACTAATTTCCCTGTTAAACACTTGCAAGCATTCAATAGCGCTTCTCTTGTCACCGGTAACGTTTGAACGTCGTCTGCAACTAGCGATTTTATTTTATCTGACAGTAATCATAGAGTAGTAAATTAACGAAATGAGAGCCAAAAATGTGGATAACACTCATTTAATAGCCTCCATGTCCACACAACGTTGTAATAGGGAATGAAATGACTGCAACCAGCTGTATGAAGCCAAGAAAGTAGGCCTATTTTTTTTTTAATCTCAGTTTGAAAGAGGTTGTTTCACGTAAGGTTGAGGTTATGATAAAAATCACTATCTCAAACAATGTTAATGTAGCGAGAAAAGTAGCTAAAATTCCGCTACAGCTACTTTAAAAATGTAGCTAGCTACAGCTAAAGCTACAAAATCTTAAAAGTAGCGTAGCTACAGCTAACGCTACAAAAAAAGTAGCGCGCTACTGTAGTCGCTACTTGTAGCGCTACTTCCCAACACTGGCAATATACAACTTATTATTAAAGTTATTAATCCTATTACCGTAAACAAAAGCAAAATCAAGAATCAAGAAAACACGAAAACAAGCAAAAACCCTTTGTTTGACCCAATGTCTACGACAATCACGCAGTTTGACGCGTTCATATCAGGTAACAAGACATTGACGTCTATACTTTTCCAACATTTCTGGAACGTTAAATTACTGTCCATCCAAGTTTTGTCTAGATAGAAAATTTTCCTTTTTTATTCCCTTAGCTTTCTTATCCGTCGCAAATACTTTAACCTCCAATTAACAATGTCAAGCCTTTCAATCTAACATTTTCTTTTAGGGCCAAATTTTTTCCACTTGAACCCCATATCTTTTAAGAGACGCCGAAGTGCCCATTCACTCCATTTTAAATTAATTCTTTCTCTCAAAACAGGTAATAGTTTTTTACATGTAGGGACAATTTTTTTGTTCTTGTAAAAATTGTGTATTACATCTACAATTACACGTTTATCAAGGCTATCTATTTGTACTTTATGGTGGCCTTCTTGCGTTTTTCCCGGGTGTACAGAGTTTTCATCCGGAGTTTGTTTGCCGGCTTTTCTAATTCGTTTAATAGTTTTTTTCTGGAACTTTACAATAGTTTGCGGCACGTTCTGTTGCCTTTTCTATTGGCACTAATAAATTTTTGTCTTTACATTCGTTGTCACAACACTCGATCACCCGTCTAATTAAATCCCTCTCCCCACTATGTATAGTAGCACCACGTTTTCTTAAATCCATAGCTACAAGGACCGTCCAAAACAAAACGAACTCACTACGCGAACACACGAGACTGCAATGAATCGAATGATGTGACCACATGATGATAATCACCTTACCAAAACAAAGATATGAGTAATTATGTTTACAACAGTTGTTTACAGGCAGACATCGAGGCGAGGCGCCCAGATGTTTAGCGCCTGCAAATAGTGCGCGATACCCTCCAAACATAGCTGCGTATCGCTCTGGCTCAAGGGACTTCTTTACTCTCGCGGACAGTATGCCCAGTCTGCCTGTTTATAAAAGCGGGCCTGATCGTATGTCATAATCTATAACATTCATAGTAAATCAAATTCACTGAAACTAAATGTAATTTCGACATCATACGATGATTCTATGATATGATTCTATGTATTAACAAGGGATAAGGTAACCAGTGTCTTCATGGATTTGTCAAAAGTATTTCACGGCGTATCTCAAGACATACAGTACTCCTTAAGAAGCTTAAAGTTTTGGGTCTAACAGATATTTCATTGAAATGGTTTAAGTTAAGAAGTCATACCTCTCCAATAAATCTCCCCATTGTATGTTAAAATAGTAAAAAAAATCGCAAACATTGAAAATGAAACATGGAGTTTCTTTATATTAGGCATAAGCGCCCACAGGGGGGTGCACTTGCACCCCCTGGCTATAAAAAAATAAATTTAATACCTGAAATGTTCTGTAATCTATCTTCTATATATTAATAGGCAAGCATGTTTCTTTAAAACCTTTTTTCTCAGCTTGTGTGCATCGTGGGGTAAATATGCGCATACCGTTGGAAAGCAATTTTCCTGTAGGTGTGCAGAATCCCTTTATAAATTTAAATAGGCTCAAAGATAAGCACAAAAAATGAGTTTAAAAATTTGAAAAAATTAACATGGATCTTATGCGTTGCCATGCTGGTGACGAAATAACAACGAAATATAAACAGAAAATCAAAACAAATGGAAGAAACTCCAATCACATGTTTTATTTACAGTGTGGGGTGAAAATAGAGAAGTGAGTACATTACATATTTTTGGTCGAGTTTCGACCACTGGACGACCTCTCGTATTTATTATTAATCAAAAGAGGGTTTTAAGAAATTATAAAAGTATGTTTCCCCCTCCTCCCTACCACTAGCCCACCTCTCTGCGACCACTTTCAAAATTTCAAAGTATGAATACTAATTCTGAATTCAAAAATTAAAAATGACCAAAGGCATTATACTACTATTTAGTTTATTTAAAAACAAAAGAAAGCTGATCATAAATTAATGATTAGGAACTTTTTAAACTGCAAATCTTGACTTTGAGATAATATTTTTAATTCAAGAGCTAAACAATATGACATAGTCATAGGCACTATTAATTCTGGTTGAGTATAGATACAGAAGCAAAGACATTGTTTAAACTAAATTCACAGTACGACCTTATAAAGCTTATTCGTTCGCACTAGGGCGGCACGGCACGGACGAGCAGCCGTCACACAATTTTTTAACATTCAACATATGGTAATATTCAACAGACAACCTGCAATTTTTTGCCTTAAGTTCAATGTTAAACAAATGCCATGATGGTCGCCCATCCGTGTCGTGCTGCACTAGTGCAAACGAGGCTTAAAACAGTAACAAATCGGCCGTTCAAGGAATGTAAAACTTTTTAATAAAAAAAAAATGTATTTATTTTACAGTTTATTAAACATATGATTGTATTAAATCAAAAGTAGACCTAACCTAAAATATCAAAATGTTCACCAAACAATAATATATGTACTTTCTAAATTAACTGTTAATCACCTAGGCCTAAAACAATTTTATTAGGGTCTTTAGATGGGGCCTTTACGCCCCCAGTCCCAACTTTAAGTCTTAGCTGTCTGGCGCCCCCCCCCCCCCTAAAACACTTGGCTGACTGGCGCCCTAGGCTCCAGCCTAATTAGCCTAACAGGTAATCAGGCCCTGTTTCATAATGGTCACTTCCCATGGTTCATAAAGATTTGACTTCCCTTGATGCACGATACACTATTTTGTTTTGGTTGGTTCTTTGTGTTACCTAAGAGCGTAAAAATATGTTTTAAAACACTATATTTTCAACAATTTTCCTGGGGGAGGCCCCCACGGACCCTCCAGATATGTTATCTATTGCACGATACACCTAATCCAAATCCTGCAGGCGCCCATGAAGTTATGTTATAAAAGATATATGCTAAAGTGTCATCAGTGCTACCCTTAAGATGGAACCGCTCTCTCCAAGCCTAATAATAAGTAGTTTTTTTTTGTTGAATGAAAATAATACATTAATACGGCAAATGTGTTGCTATGTAGCCTAAAATGTCTATGTGATTACCCGAGCAATATATTTAATTAGGCATATTGACTGAAAACCGACAAACAAAATTCTCATTGGTATGGGATAGTAGCGACTGTAGGAATGCAAATGTACATCATCATTTAATAGCAGAGTCAGCTGTCACCTGAGACTCGCACACTCTAGTATAATAAATATTTACAATGGAGTGTTTGTTTATTATTTGAACAGTAGTTTTGTAATAAACTTTTGTGGAATACATTATTTAAGATGTCTACTTTGGATTTGGATAGCAACAAAATATTATGTGAAAAAATATTATTATTTTGTAATACATGTGCTTATTAATAAATTCAATAATGTTCCGTCCAACTAAAATTATTATATTTTAATTTTACATTATATTATGTTTCAGGCCTCGCCATTGCTCGTACATCGCTAAGGACGGCTCTGAGTGCCATGTAGAAAAGGTGTTTGACATGGTCACCTCCAGCCCATGAAGTATATCTTTCCTGGAGTCAAACTGTTTGTAATCCTAGATTTAAAATAGACTTACCTATTGTGTTAATAAGAGAAAGCATAACTTTTGTTACCTTCATGCATGGTGAACTTTCATTTCTTTCAACTATCTTCCAAAAGTATTCAAGTCCTTTTTGTAAATTCTCTTTCAATATCAAGTAATACCAACCAATATCAGCCACAATTAATTCAAGCTTACTAGACAATTGTAATGCTTTCTCGGCCTTCTTGAGATCCTCTAAAGGGTCATAGGTCATGTCATTTACATATTTAATCCTGATAACTTCATTATAACCATAAACCATGTGGTTACAAATTGCTTTCTGAAAGTATTCTAATGCCTTATCTGGATTCTGTAACAGAAACGGTACATTTAGTAATTTTATAGTAATCGGTCTATCGGATACCTTTTACAGATATAAAGGTACCTTCATTAAACAATTAGAAATAAATTAGGAATTTACATTTTCACATCATTATTATGTATATTGTTTAACTTACTTTTAGTGAACTACATAATACCGGTATAGCAAGAATTATTTTGATATTTCACAGGGAAGAAGCTAGCAAGTGGTGTGGTTCCAGATAGATCCAAAATCGATTTGCTTTTTGTTTTGATGGCCCCAGAGAGGACAAAAATTGTATTAGTTCAAATGTTTTGAAACGTGACTGCGATAAATTAAGCGATTGCTATCTGATTTTGATTAAAATTTGCCATGAATGCATAAGCAGGGCAGCAGCTAAAGGTGTTGCAGGGAGGGTTATTTTCCCCGGGCGGCAAAATTGAAGTTTGCTATGTAATTTGTCACCTACCTTTATGTACAAAAAAGTTTGCTTTTGCATAAAAAAGTATAGTCTTGCCAATAAAATGAAAATATTACTATGGTGGTGAGGTTCAAGGATGGGAGCATTGGACATGACTGATCAAGGTCAAAGTCGTTTCTTGTACTTAGGTGTTGGGAGAGGAGTAGCAGAAAAACGACTTTTTTAAACAAGCTTTTTTCTAAAATTAATGATTTGTCACGCTCCCAATAACAGATAAGGATGTCCCTGTGATAAGATTTTTCGGCATTTGCAGATGACTTTTAGATGACCTCATGATGGCGGGAGACGTTGGCGATTTATCCGCGATCGAGGACAATAATGACAATAATTGTGTCATTAGTGACCCGTGACAATAATTTTCATAACAGTCGCAGTATAGAGCTAAAAATATACCAAATTAAAATATTACACATTGATTGTTCTACGGCATTTTGAGATGTTGAAGTGTTCATTTACAGTTTGATTGTATAACATGTTATATATGGAGGATAAATTATTGATGTGGTTTGCTTGAATATCAAAATGTATGGATAACTCGGTAAATTTATTTATTTCTTACTAAGCTACTCAAATTTTACAAAAACCATACAGATATCTAAATATGGGCCCTGTACACATGAGGGGGGTGGCGGGAACCACGGCTGTTGTGGATTTCCCTTTGACCGCGGTTGGAGTTACTTGAGTTGGCATGAGAGCGGACACACATGAGGGCAGTAGCTGCTGCGGTTGACTTGCGGTTGGTACTAGGATAACACAGTCACACACATCTGCGCGCGGGCTTAATCGACAAGTTTTTCTTCTGGCAAAATCCTATCCCTCACTGTGTTTTCATTTTCACTAGGTGATAAGTGATCTTTTACTAGAGTCAAGAGTTCATTGAAAGAGGTTACACTCATCCGAAAGTAGTTAAATAACTTAGGAGGGTAATCTCTTAGTTTTGGGTACAGAGTAACAAATGAATCCAAGGTTAATCTGTGCTATTTTGAGAAAACCTAAAGCCGCATATTTATCAACCGCATACTTGAATAACATGTATTTATGAATCTTCCCCAAAAAATATCAGTTTTTCGATAAACCCTCTCCTAAGGGCACAAATTAAAGGGCTGTTGTTAATCACATTTTAGATATTGAAGATACATCTCGGTTAGATTTGGTTTTATTTGTAGTTTGTTTTATCCAGAGCATGGATAAAACATAGTCCCTTAGTAGATTTCCTATTCTTATGGAACAGCTGAAGCCAATTTTATTGTTAGTTCTGTCCGGTTTTCTGTAGATGTTGTGTTTTGTTTACAATTAGTTTCATGTTATTTCAGTAATTTAAAACCTCGTTTAACCAAATAAAACTATCTAATCATAAACGATAACTCATTCACTAGCTACATAACCAAACAGTGAGACACAAATAAATAGAAACTAACCCTAAAATACTGTAATAGAAACAAATTGTAAACTAAACACGTCATCTACAGAAAACCGCACAGAACTAACAATAAAATTGGCTTCAGCTGTTCCATAAGGATGGGAAATCTACTATATTGGTTAGTGTATGATTCTGAGTTAGTCTTTTGATTCTCATTATAGATGCTTACATTACAATTAAGTTATTATGATGGTTCCAATTCTGCCACACAGTTTAATGCATTTGATTTTTATTTAAATAAGCTAAATGTACAATTGAAATTTGACTGTATAATTTGCATGGTAAGTGCGTGTTAATCACGGGTCACACTAGACTGCTCGCCAGCCGCTGGTGATCAGCGGCTGACACCAGCACCACCTAGCAACGGCTTTTGTACGGGTCATACTAGGCTGCTTGACAGATCTCGTTAAACGAATACTAAGTGATTATTGAGGATGTGTGAGAAAGAACAGCTGGGAGGATTTGCAACAACTCACTGTAAGCTGCTTCTTTGACGTCCCTACTTCTTTGAAGATGAGGTCCAACAAGCACGCATAGTTTTGGAATAAATTTAAGAAATCAATAACCTGCTTACCCAACCACTTAAGCTCAGTAATTTCTATGTCAACGCTACAAATTACTACTTTTAGTTTTAATTGCCTACTTTAAAGCTCGGTTCTTGTCGCCATTTCGTCCTTGGGTCCTCATAAACCAGTACTTAATCTAATATCCTGCCTCACTACCAAAAGTTGAACATGTCCGACATCGCCAGCCGCTGTGAAATGCTCGCTGGCTGGCGGTGCCAGCTGCCAATTTTGTGGTCACATTAAGCTGACAGTAGCAGCTTCTTGAATTTGCCGCTGATGCCAGCCTAGTGTGACCCTAGTAAGTAACTGTTTTTTTACAGTATATTTAGAGACCCACCATATTCTCTTAAATGAATTCTTGCCCTGTTGCAAAGCACGGACAGAACAACTAGGTTCCTTGAATACGGCCAATTTATTCCCTATTTAAATAATTAGGTCTAACGAGTACCGGTACCTAGGTTTGCTGGTATAGGAAAGGAAAAAAGTTTTTTTGTAAAATTTCGATAGTAAAGTATTAAATAAATACTTTTTTTTCAGAATTTGATCATATTACATCCATAAACGTGTAAACATGAACTACAACAGTTTACTTTTATCCCTATAAGAATAAAACAGAAATTTTAAATGTACAGTTTTTTTTTTTTCAACAATGATTCAATATACAAAATTATTTGTTTTTTAAGCTCCACATGACGGCTGTAATAAAAATTGGTCATTTTCATGTTTTCAGGGGAAAATTGTTTGAACAATTCCAAGACTCCATAACACCCTATTCCTATCACCCGATCAGATCTTGCTGGCTCGGCAACCCTTTAAGTCCATCCCGTCCTACACACTCAAACCAAATTTTATTAAAATCTTACCAAAATTGCTAGAATTATCTTATTATGAAAGAATTTTATATTAAATTGGTTAAAATTGTAATATCTTTTTCTAGTAATGTTAATAGTTTAAAAAATGTTTAATGATATCCGAGTTCTTGCAGCAACAACAATAAATTTTGATTTTTCAATAGATGACCCGTGTGCTAGGTTCACACGAGCGACACATCATGCTGCTAGGCTGTGACTAGCATTTTCCCGACCCAATGATACACTAGTTTACCCGAGCGACAAGTCCCCCGACTAGATCACAGGCGTAAACGAATGAACATTGATAAAGGCGATTTAGGTATGCGAGCTGTAGCAAGACGGCAGACTGCACGTGTGAACGCTCTCATATGGCTACGTATATGTATTGCTACGCCGCATGGCCGAGGCAATTAGCGACACTTCGCTAGGAAGCGGACCCTGGCGATAGTTTGAGACACCAAGCTATATCGCGGCTTGATCGTCACGACTGTACGCTTATGTGAACGGCTCCATTTGGTCCTGTGGTCTGCTATGCCACACCTGTGCCCTAGTAACAGCCTAGCAGCTAGATGTTTCGCTTGTGTGAACCAGGTCTTAGACTAAGAGATGAATATGTATATGTATATATGTATGTGAGAAGTCTCATTATTGAATGATGATTAAGGATATAAGAAAATGCAAAGTATAAACATTTGGAAAAAAACATATTAACAATACAATGCAAAGATCTGATTTAGCTATAAACATATCTTTCACCATATTTCTTGACTATGCATATATTTTGATCTTACCGGCTCATTTCGAGAATAGAAGGTTCCCAGCATTTGGAAGGTAATGGGATTCAGGGAATATTGTTCGGCTTTATGTAGTAATTGTTTGGCCAGACGGTAGTTTGCAAACTGCTTGGGTAAACTCATCAACCCATTCCCTGCTCTTCTCAAAATAGCGGCTGAAGTTGGATTTAACTCAATGCTTTCTCTGAAATCATTATATGTACTATGGGTATAATTTATAGATATAATACAAGTGACAACCAGATTTAATAAATTTATGTGCAGGTTTTCTTCTTAGAAAAATTAGACACCATGCTACTTCAGATTTATCCTAATATTGTGCATATTATTGTGATTGTGATTTATGCAATATTCCCATGTAAGATGTGATTATAACCTTATGGGACAACTCTTGCAGTTCATAAACTTATCTTCAATGGTATTAAAAGTAATCAAGAATACACAAAAAAGACAGTCCTGCAAACCAATATTTAAATTACAAATAATGACTTAGCTTAATCTATTTATTTAAACACACATCATATATCCTAATAACATTTTCAATATTAGGCCTAGATTTAATTTATGCAAGTTAAAGAAAAACAAAGCAGCTTAATTTTATGTACATTAGATAGAGCTATTCAATAAACTGCCAAAAAAGGCTTGGTGTGTTCTTTAAAAGATTTGATTTGTTTTTAAAACAAATAGTTGAAGGAAAGTGTATTCTATTCCATGATTATCTGGCCTCTGATGTTAGTTCTCATTGTGTTTAGATCATTAATATCAATATTCTTAGGGGCATGTTGGGACATAAGTCCCTAAAAAGCTCGTAATGTAAAACAACTTACGTATTTTAATATTTAAACAAACTAAGAATAAAATTATTTATTTGTCAAGATCGATATACCTTTACACCATATTTTTGTCTAAAAAAGTCACTCAGCTGTTTGCTTTTGTTGTTGTTATCTATATAATATGAAATCCAATGTTTGCCCTGTATGTGTTACCAAATGACCATCCGATCGTGATGAAACTTAAAGGGAAGTAAATAAATACTATACAAAATGATGAATGCTTGTTTATGGATATCTTTTGATCAAACTTGGCAGATATATTCATTTGATACTAAGCAATAATTATTTTACTTAAAACACACACTTTATTAGTTTCCTTGTAGCAGCAAACCTAGGTACTCGTTAAACCTAATGTTATTTAAATAGATCAATTGAAAATCAATTCAGCCAAATGGAAATTTGCTTAGATGGCAGGTTTGCTGCGGCGGGGGTATTTATTTTCACTCTCATCTTTTCCTCAAAATAGTCACCCCTGGAATATGCTGATGATGTGGTATTTGTATATTATGTCTTCGTCTTCCTTCCTAGTTAGCCCGTTCACAAAATTTAAGCGGTTTAAGGGGAAGGTTCCTAGGTTCCCTCACCACTTTTTTTTCTTAATATGTCAGCTGTTGTTTCTAAGCTAGGGTGAGATGGTAGGGTATGGAATCGCTTCCCCTCAAACCGCCTAAATCTTGGGGACGGAGTAGTACTACATCCAACAAGCATTATAAATACATCAAGCACTGAATATTACTGTGGTTGTGACTGTCTGACATTTTATTTTAGGATACCTTGATCCTGTAAGAAACTTGACTTTGGGGCTACTTCAGATGCCTTTGCTTTACAATACACCATACAATGATAAACACTGAAGCTTGTTGAGTTGAACTAAACTTACATGTACAGGTCACTTGCGTTTTGGTCGAGGGAATCAATCACATTTTGAGTGGCTGGGGGAGAATGTTTATTTTTTTGCAGATACCTAGCTTTTTCACGGTACGCTTGAGCCAAAAATACAAGGTGCTTGGCATCCCGGTCCAGGCTTACAGCTTCCTCAAAGTAAGGTATTTCTTCTGAAGGGTCCTGCAATCTTTTGTCCCTCCGAATTTTTCCTGGCAACACAAATTAAGTGTAAATGAGTGTCTAATTTATATACATTTACAAAGATTTTAAAAATCAGGTCTGCTTTAGTAAAAGCGCCCAGTGTAGCCCAACACAAGGGCACAAGTATAGAGGTTTTATTATTTATTGGGAGCACAAGGAAGAGAAAATTCACAATCGAGGTAGGGTGGGAGGGGGCAAAATAGTCTCTTGGACCCATATAGGGCTTCTTTGCATGGCAAACTGTTTAAATAAGAATAGTTTAAGCTATGTGGGATTGGGTGATTAATTAACAAATCACCCATTTATTTTGGTTTGTATACCCTGACAAGAAATTAAAAATTAATTATATTCCCAAATCATATATCCCATTTCCTATTTTAATCCATGTTGTATTCAGTGAGGCGTGGCTTTGGAATTTGATGACAGGGTTGGCCTAGCCATTTTCTTCCTTCTGGTCTGGTAGATATTGCTCAACTTAACAGTGTATATAGTTTGAATTTGACTTCAATGTCAAAGGACTTTGACCGCCACCATGGGGAACAGGGCCAGTTCTAGGAATCTTTCACAGTTAAACGAGAACCCGAATCAGCGCCACCTAGAATTGCCCCCCATGAACTAAATTAAATTATAATTACTTGAATTTAGTAAATGAAAAAATTGACCGCTATACTGGTGTTTTACTATGCTATTGAGATACTTACGCAATATCTTTCCAGTCCAATATTTCCAAGTTGCACATTGTGGATCAAGCTTATTAGCTTCTTTCATGTGAATCAAAGCAAGGTTTGTTTCTTCTGTACAGCTCAAATAGAACTTTGATTTTACGGCATGGATTGCCGATTGCTGAATTGGATCCATCTCTGAAAGTGGCTTAAGGTTGGAGCATTTCACCTGCAGGAACCAATAATTACAGTAACAAATCAGGGAGAATGTTTTGTAGAGTAGAATCCAAACGGGCTAAAGAGATAACAGGTACATTTCGGCCTTATCTCCTCTCCCCTGAGTGGCTGAACTTAACTCAAGAGTTATGTGAATTGTTAATTCATTTTAGAGTTAAAAGTTATGTTAACAGTTTTATTTTAAGGAGTGATTGCTACTCACTTGGTACATTCTTGCTGTTACTTTAACAGCAAATTAATTGTTTGTTAGACTTAAAAAAACATTGACGATGTCTATTGTAATACTTTTAGGCTATTACTTAGTGACAAAAAAGATCTTGAATCTTGAACCCACTCATTACACCAAACTCGTGGTTATCTGAGCCAACTAACCGAGTTAAAGTCATCAGAAGAAACAAAATTCAAAGGAAGTTGGCAGTTGTATTAGATTATTGTACACCCCTTATTGACACTTATAAAAACCACTTGCCCCTCAAATAATAAAGTTATTGGCAACCCCTGTTAGTAACACCCCTGCCCAAGCAATATTGCAGAATAAGTGAATTGCCATTTACCTGCTTGGATTTTCACTAAATCTTTCCTTAACATTTTCAGATTTATTTTCTCTTTTAATACAATTAATTTTAATGACTACTTTGGTTTGCTGCTACAGGGAAGGTAATAAAGTGCATTTTATATAGCTTAGTATTAAATAAACAAATTCGCTGAATTTGAACAAAGTATATCTCTAAACATGCAAACTATACAACAGTGTGTGTTAGGGTCCTCCATACCCTAAGAATAATATGGGTATTTAAATGTACAGTTTTTTTGGAATGTCCTCTGTAACTAGTGGACAAACACGCTTCAAGATACTAAATAACTTTTTTTAACCTTTTCAAAATTGTTTGAGAAGAAATTGTAAAGTTTTATGTTTTAGAGGTCAAAAATGGGAAGAGCCAATTTTTACCCTATAAAATCTTATTCCCATAGTGTGACATGCTGGTTTGCAACCCATTCAAATATGCTGGTTTGCAACCCATCCTTATTTAAAATACGTGAAAGCGATTTCTACAAAACACTACTCCTCCGTTAATAATTGACGGATTTTTACAAACAAGGTGTCAAAATTAAGTATTTTTTGTGTAGACGGCCCCTTTCACAAATTCCTGTAATAAAAGTCTTCGGGCTTTGCCCCACAGACCATCAAAATCACAATGTATTTCTTATGAAGAAAAGATTTTGTTTACTTAAACAGACGAATAATTTGTATTAATTGCAGCTGTTCATAGTAAACACATGATACAAACAAGAGTGTTCGTTTTCAGTTTCGATAGATGGAGTGGAGTGAGCCTTCGTTTTCAGAGCAAGTTCGTTTCCAGTTTCGATAACTGGAGTGGAGTGATTGATTACATTATCTTTGAGATGACTCTTATAAGTCAACGGAAATTGTGACTCTTATTCGTAAAAAAAACTCCTTTAATATTTAGCAATTGCTCGAATTCGAGCAACAGGTGCACTAGTTCAAATAAATGTAGGTTACACATATGTACCTACCAAATTTATTTAAAATCAGTAAATTGGTCCCGAGTCTAGATCTTATTACCACTTAGGTTATTTCCTAAATGGAAAATTGGCTTAAAGTTAATAAAAAACTATCACCTTTAAATCCTCAGCTTCAGTTGAATTGTCCTCAGATAATATGCACACATTTGCAGCTGTAGCTACAAATACATGTTCTAACGCATCTTTAATTCTCAAATAAAAATCCCCCTTGTCTTTTTCCATTTCAAGCAGCATATCCTTCATTTGCCTGACGAAGTATTTTGATTTCTTGAAATCCTTCATCAATGAGTACTCAAATGCTAGGGCTAAGTAGGGCAGATATCTAAAATAGGAGAAATTATTATCATGGAATGTTAGATTTTAGTTACCATTTTGTTATTAGTGGTTTGATTTTAATTTTCTTGATTGCAATCGCTTTTTTCCATCAAGACCTGTAAGTGATATAAAAGTTGAATAGGCCTATACTTCCCATTTGAAGATTTTGAACTACCCCATACCCCCACTAAGGGTAAATATTGAAACCATCATTATTCATTATTGTAGATCATCAAAGCAACATGGCCGACCAATCGGAAACACGGAGACAGCAGAAATGGCTTCCGGTCCCTGGAAAAGTAAAACCAACAAAATGGCGGAGCGATGTACGAAACACAACATGTCTATATTGTCAACTCGTAGTAAAACTCATGATAGGAATAAACAGAATTAACACCCATCTTGCCGCATCGTACATCGCTCCGCCATTTTGTTTATTTTACTTTTCCAGGGACCGGAAGCCATTAATTTCTGTTGTCTCCGTGTTTCCGATTGGTCAGCCATGTTGCTTCAGTCTCATTGGTGGAGTCATTGCGAACGGTGCTAGGCTATTAGTGTTCCATTGTGTGAGCTTTTTACGTTACACCTTTTATAGATTATAGTGTTTTGTGATTGGTTTCTATTTGCATGTTGTATCATGACTTGACTGCTATACAGTGCTTATTTTTTGACTGCTACCCTCTGTAGTGAATTCCAACTTAGGTTGAGCGTTTGTGTATTGTTAGTTGTAATGTGTTAGTTAAGTTTTTTCACCTGAGGACGGGATCAGATTCCAGATCCCGAAACGTTGTGTATTGTTTTTTACAATCGTGATGGAAAATGTCCACAATATACCTTTGAACAACATTAACTCACCATCACGAACAATGAACTTCAAGCACTTATACAGTGTATTAGATGAGAAACATTAGTTTAATAAATATCTAAATTAAATGAAAGTAGGCTACATGTAGGAAAAAATTAACTATGGTATTTTATAAGATTTATGATAGGCCTACTTACTTTTCAAAAGTGTAACTGTCTCCTTGGTTACTGTAATCCATCATCTTTACCAAGTAATCGCCTGATGATAAGTTTTCACTTTTGACAATTTGAGCCCAACCGTATGGAGATTCAGTGTGTTCTATCTCTTTAGGAGGAGCATAATCGATTAAATCAATATCTTTTACTTTTCTCAAGTAAGTGTTATATCGATCATTACTGTTGTTAGCGTCATCTATTTTTGCTAAATCTTTCGTCAAAGAAAATCCAGTGCTTGAATCCATCTAAAAAAAAAAATTTTATTCATACAATGTTGTTGTATGGTTATGTTTTTCTGTAGGAAAGGAAAATTTTCAAATAATGTTTTAATATGATTAAAAAACTGTAAGGTCTGTTTGTTTTTTATGAGCTAAAAGATTCCAAACCTATCTAAATCTACACCTTTACCCACTTTATCTCTATGTAATACCAAACCCAAGCCAACATAGGCCACGTAAAAAAATGAAAGATGAAACTGTACATCCCCGTTGAGTGTTGAAGGACAGACAAGAGGGTGTGTGTACTTTTTTATACTTTCCCTGCATAAACGTTTCAATATCAATATTTTTGTAAACAACTTGCAACGTAAACATTTTAGTGACAGTTTGAAACCCAGCTATTAGTTAAAACAAATGACATTGAAAGACACTTAAAACAATAGAGTCGGCTGCTAGACTAAAAAAAAATTAAATCAGCCCAATTCTAAAAAGCTGAAATCCCAAACTAAAATTATGGCTTTCACATTTCCTTCCCTCAAAAATTATCTTTATTTCAATACAAAAATCATGAAAATCCGTCAAGTGGTTGATTTAGAATATTGAGATAAAAAAACCTCTTTCACAATTTAATATACAAGATATAACATTTAGAACAGGTGAGCAATAAATTGTATACTAACAATAATCTATTAACCTTAACCTCACTGAAGAAGTATCACCAGCTATTTGTTCAACGAACACTACATACTGTCTGATTCTGTGCTTAGAGGACTCTTCTACACAGTTTAACACTGATAACACAAGTGACAATCTATTGTTAACGTTTGATAAGATTTGTTTATCTCATCCTTATGTTGGTGTGGTGACTAACACTCTCCAATAGATAGATTTGTTTGATCACTAAACATCATAGGCCTACACTCAAGCAATAAAACATGTCAATAACTTGATAACAGAAGAAGATCAACAACTCTAAGCAAAAATAAGTGATTTTTCTAATAAATATGTACATCATAACTTACTAACAGGCTAAGTACTCTCACTCTCATCAAACTAAAATAATTTTAACAATCTACCGGTCGGTACTAAATATTGTGTCCCTAAGGGCAATTCAAATTTCCATTAAAAGAATGAGGGGCTGAGGGGGCGCCGCGCTGCGGCTATTTGTATTGACATTATAGTATTTAAATATACGAATGCGACTTTTACAGGGGGGGAGCGGGCGCCACAACCACATTTGCTCCAGGCGCCACTAGGGACGGCCCTGTATCCAGACCTTTAAATAAAATGTTAGTTATAAATCAGGTTTTAAGAGTTGATGTAATAAGGTGAAGCATCTTAAATGTTCAACAAAATCACATCTGCACTGACATTTTTTAAACAGTCTATAGAGATTAATCCTATGACATGGTGGATATGAGCATGAGCTATTGATATCTTTTTTAAGTTATTGATTACTGACTCATTCCAAAATGTGACGTCTGGATTACCACATTCATTATGCATGAAAATAAAGTGCTTACGTACCTACCAAAATTGCACACAAACGTCAAATTTCACAACAGACTTCAAATTTCTTAAGATAACTTACTTATATTAATTAAAATTTTACTGAAAACTTAAAAGTACAACAAAGGTTAATCAAATCTATTAAAAAAACCACTTATGGCATATGCAAAAAAAAATACTTATCAGAATTCCATTCAGGGTACCGTACAGTTCCACAGAGGACACGTAGTATATTATCGGGTAAAAACGATAAATATTAATATCCGATTCGATATATTGATTACTAAATTTATTTTTTCCCGATGTAAACATCAAATTGAGTTATAATTCTTGTTTACTTTTTGATTGATATTTAATAAATATAACAAAAAATATGAAAAGTAACAAAAAAAAGTAATAGCAAAAACACGAATTAAGTTAAGTTAATGATGAAGAAACAAAGAAATGTAAACTAAAAAACCAGTAACCACATAAAATCGAAAATTCATTGTTTCTTACATTTTTATTCTTACCTATCTAAGAAAATACTAAGGATAAATAGTAGCCTAGGCCTATATTTCGTACCTAGGGCCGAAAATGAGGTTTTGCCTGCTCGAACTTGAAACGATCGAGAGCTGCAAAACCATTTTGGTCCATGGTACTTACTTACTTTCCGTGTCCGGAAATCAGACTTTGTATACATGGTTGTACATGAATCGTGTCAAATAAATTAAAACTAATTCTTAAAACTATGATAAAGCCATTTTCTATTCATCTAAAGAGTATAAGGACAGGCCCATTAAATATTTCTTGAGAAGTCTTTTAAAATTTTTCGCACCAGAGGCAGAGGGCCCAGGCCCATTTACTAAAGCAGACCTGCTAGCCTAAGGGTTAAACTTAAGATTGGTCCTAAATCTTACCAGGGTTGGCCTTAAACTACAAGTTAAGTCATTAACTTAGTTAACTTATCTGATAGAAACTTTTAAGTTGGTGTTAACGTTTAGATCTACTTACCATAACCGGGGTCTGTTTTTAAACTCTCTTTAAAATATATTTGCCTAATAATTTGTGGAAAAAATCCAACACTCCAATGACTGATTTGATTTCGTTATAAGTGAACCAGTAAATGAAGAAACTACTGATGAATAAAATTAGGCCTAGTTACTGGAATCAGCTACAACTGGCCCGGGGAAGTACAGAGATGACAAACCAACACTCATGGTGGTTAGGTGGTTTAGAGAATCAGAGGAACTCTTCCTTCAGCCACTCACTAACTTAGTAACTTACTATAATTCACTGAGGTTTTTGTATCTGAATCTTGTATCATATATTTTCAACTGGCTGACTAATCTAATCAAATAATTTATGAATTTAGAGAAAACAGTGTCAACTTGAATACTTATTTATGTTCATACAAAACTAACAAAGACGAAAGATCTAGTAATTAGGAAAAATCATAAAGGCTTTTTCCGCTTCCGGCCAATTGGGTTTTGGAATAAAATGTAATCACGCTCTAAAAGAACCTGCTTTACAGTGAGGAATGAAATAAAATCAAGCATTTGGCTCTACCACTACGCCAAGAGTTTAATCAGTCAATGGTTTAATCCACACAAATTTTCAAATTGCATTCTATATAAATTTTCAAAAGTAGTATTTACTAACAATACCTAATGTTATAGTATGACACAGCATTGATTATATTACTTCATAGTATTCTCAGAGGTACCCATCCCCCAAATTCAGGGGCACAAGTCGCCCCATTTTATACTGCCCCTTTCCCCAATCCGCTCAAAAAAAGGAAAAAACTTTACTAGTTAAGGAGTTTCCAAAGTAAATATATGTACTCACCATTGGCTCGCTGGATGCTCCGCCCCCAGGCCCCCATTGTGGGTTGGTGGCTTATTAGATTACTTACACATCCTCGGAAATCTTCAAGTCTAGCACGTTTCTAAACGGTTCAGTCAGAATACCAAAGTAAGCTAGGTACTTTGTAGAAGTGGGTAAACGTGATTTAGACCGATGCACCTGTAATAATAACATTAGGGGGATTCAATATGTCGGGGGGGGGGAGGGGGTTATTATTGTAAAATGCCACTTTTCAAAAAGGGCGCATGCAAGACCTACAATCGTGCCAAATTTCAGATCTCCAGCTAATCTAGAAGTGGATAAACATGATTTAGACCGATGCACCTGTATGCATAACATTGGGGGGTAGTCGATATTTCTGGGGGAATGATTTTGTTTGTATCGTATTTTACTCTGCTGACGTTATTTAACATTCTGTGCGAGTAGCACTTAAACTGATAAGCATGATCATAAAAGTGTATCTTATTTTTGTTTAATTGCATACTTTACATTTACAGAGTTCTTATTATTTCAGCGATCAAATGTCAATGGTTGGTAAAAAAATGTGTTTTCGTAAATTATCAAATGCGTCTAACATTCACGTCATTACTTGACGTTCACGAGAATGTCTTTTTAACCAATGGGTCTAAAACCAATTAACCACAACCGAGCAAGTCTATATTGGTTTCCCGGTACCGTATTGTAATCAACGAGCACAATCACGGCCGCCTTTAACTCCAGGCTGCGGCCTCCGAACTGGCAACGTCGCAAGTGGTGTTGTAACAGCTGTTTATTTTGACAGCAGCTAATGGTATTTGTGTATTTACGAAAGCTTGGTTAATGGTTACTGGACTCTTGCATTATATTTAAGGGTTATGACAATATTGACTCCACTTTAAAAGTACAAAAATTGATTTTCTATTTAAATATTGTTTTTGTTTTCAATCCTATATGTTTTATTTTCAATCTTTCAATAAATTTATGTTCATACATTTTAATTTTAATGAATAAAACGCGAAATAATAAGCTGGTGTCACCTGTCTGTCATGTTATCTTATGGGACGTCTGGCGCTAGACAACACCACTTGCGACGTTGCCAATTCTACCAGGCCACGGCCTGTAGTTAAAGGTACGGCCGTGGCACAATATTAAGTTGTTATATGTGTTTGCTGATTATAATAATTTAAATTGTTGAAAACGACTGTTTTCGCAGGAGTAGTCTATACGGGATAGTATGTAAAGCTTTTTTTTAATATGCTTAAAACTTAAAGTCATTTACATTTTACACGTGACCTCTAGTCGCCGCTGCCTCGCTACCAAAAGTTTAACATGTCCGACTTCGCCAGCCGCTGACAAATACTCGCCGGCTGGCGGCACCAGTTTTGTGGTCACAATAAGCTGACAGTAGCGTAGCGGCTTCTTTTAATTCGCCGCTGATGCCAGCCTAGTGTGACCACTGAGCTATAATTCTAACTGGAGGTAGCACTGAATGTCAAAGATGCGTGTCGCCAGCCGCCATGTTTGCGTGAGGCGGATGTCATAAGAAGCCATGTTATTGCTATGACAAAAAAACTCACTGCTATACCAACCTAGTTATAAGAAGCCATGTTATTGCTATGATAAGAAAATCCACTGCTATACCAACCTAACAAAATCAGCGACACGCTTTTGACAGACTTCTGACATGGCAGTGCTACCTCCAGTTATAATTTTAGCTCAGTGAGTAGAGGTGCTCTGACCCGTGCTTAACCTGAAGGAAAAAAACCCAAATGAAAAGGTTATATGTAAAATATTGAACCACGCGGCTGCATTGTTCATACCGAGCAAGGCCGGCCAATTTTGTTTTGTCAAACAAGAAAAGAAAAAAAACACTTGCTCACTATTAGTAACACTAACATAACAAAAAACATAACCTTACAAAACTGAACTGAGGCCGAAGCTATTTTTATCAGTGAGTGAGCCGGTGTTTTTAAATATTGTAAATAAATAAAACTTAAGTTATTCTAACTTTCTCTGATTTATCGAATAAGTTAGTTAGATTTTATCATACGCATTAATCTGTAACACAATTTGAATTGTTTAGCCCTCTCCTAGGCAAAAAAGCAAGCGATAACTTAGTGTGATCTTTGTGAAGTTGTGGCAAAGTATTTGCCAATAATTATTCAAACGTAACTTATTTTGTGATTTGTTTCAACATGACATCCTCAGAAGATATTCACAAAATGTTTACTAGCGATCCAATACATTTCAAATCACTAGTTAATAATCTAGTTGAAGTTGAGACAAAAGGCGGTCCATTATCTACGGGCATCTTGTTCACCATTGATCCTGTATCAGAAACGTAAGTAACTTTGGACCCTACTAGGAAGGAGTATGTTAGGCCAGGCGCACACAGGCGATTTTGAGTCTAGTAACAGTTGCCTGACTAAAATTTTCACCATTGTTTTAAACTGGAGTGTGCACACCAAGGAAACAGTCTAGGGACAGTCGCGCAACTGTTGCATTGCAATCGATGTTCCCGGACCCAATTTGCCAGAGACAGCTCTGCGACTCAATTGTCGCGGGACTGTCGCTGTCGCTCAAGGTTTGGTATCCATTGTAACAAGTGTAGACGCACACACATGCGACTAAATTGTCGCTGTGTCGCTCAGTCTCACCATAGATAAAACAATGTTTTATCTATGGTCTCACCGCAGGAATTCAGCTACCGGTACTCGTGGCCAGAACTGTCACTAGTGTTTGCTCTACTCTTTTTGTTGTGTCAAGTTTTTAGATAATTATACTTAAATATGAGTGTCTGTGATGAGGATGTCGAACAATTAATTGATGAAGTTGAGAAGAGGCCGCCATTATATTTAAAGTCATTGAAAGACTATTCGGATATTAATTTGAAGAAGAATTTGAGGGATGAAGTGCCCGGCAGTTACTAAAGATTGGAACAACCTAACACAATAGGATTTAAAATCAAACAGCAGATTGTGAAGTACACAGCAAACTTTTTACTTTTGAGTCACTGAATTCAACTCCTTCATCGATAGGTCGAAAGAAAATGCGCCATTTAGTAGGGCATAGCTAAAATTCAGAAAGCACATTCCACCATTCTTTGTGCTTGACAGTGCCTGTAGTTGAAAACTTGTTTCACGACTAAAAAGTTGCCTGTGTGCGCACTCCAGCTCAACTGTCGCTACACTCAAAAGTCGCCTGTGTGCGCCTGGCCTTAGGTTATAGGGGTAACATACAGTTTCTTAACTGGGCTACGCTAACTTAATATTGATTGCCAATATCAACTAATAATCAACTAGGCCTATATTAACCTAGCATAATTAATTAACCAAACTTGCTGATAATGAAAAGATCGAATGAAGGTTTATTTCAATCGAATCTTTATTTTCAATGGATACCGGTACCTAACTTATTAGCGTAAACCAGTTGTTTACCCTTAGAACCGTTTAGTTTTCAAGCAAACATAAGTTAAAATAAAGCAATTGTTTTTTAACTTTTATCTCAAATTTACTGCCAGGAAATTTATATATATATATAGGTAGCCTAACTATACCATTTAATTTTTCAGGGTTGTTCTTCTTACCCAGACAGGAGAAAGTTTGAAGGTAAATTTAATACCCTCACACAATGTTAAGAACATCAAGGTCGTCGAGGCTACAAATGTTGCAAAGATCCCAGACAATCTTTTCAAGGAGGACTGGGCCAAACACATGAGTGAAGAAGAGATTGAAAAGAAAAGACATGCTTTGAAAGATTGGCTGACAAAGAACACAATTCCAATTGTTGAGAGTGATAAACTTTTGAAGCTAGAAGATGTCTTGACTATTGAACCACCTTATGGACCTGACCAATGCTCGTCTAACAATGAAATCGTATTAAGCAAAATTCAAGAGTTGATAAAGTCAATGCCTGTGTAAAAAAGTATTATCACACGAAACCTGAGCAATAAGAAAAGACTCATATTTGAGAAGCTAATGTTTAAAAGGAAGGTTTAAAAAGTTTTCTGTGAAATTGTGTTGTGCAAATATATTACATCTTGGTTTATACGTAAACAATTGTTTTCCTTGATTTACGTTCGTTATAAAATTAAGTAGGTCTACAGTTATAGGTCTAGTATTTTAAAACAGCAAATTTTAAAGAAGTGAAGAATAGTACATTCTAATTCTGCTCCTTTTTAATGGGAACAATTTGTTTTTCCTTTGAAAATCTATATATCTAATTCCGTAAGCCGAAAATTTTACAATGAAATTGTGAGCGAATGGGAGGCCGTAGAAAGCTGGGAGGGGTCTCATTTTAAAGGTCTGAGCATGAAATTTTGGGGAAAATTATTCATTTTTCTTAATTATGCACCAAGAGGTTGCTACGGAATAAAATATTTCACATTTAAATAGCATGGGAATCTAATTTTATGTATTTTTATTTAGTGTAAACACAGCTGTGATTGAAAAAATTATAACCACACCTGAATGTGCATGATTTTGTTATTGTAAAATTGATAGTGAAGTAGTAAATATAATTGGAAAATGTTCCTTAGTTGTATTATGATTAGAAAGTTTATATTATAAAGACACCGTATGCTCTTTGAAATTTTTATTTTAAACAGAGCAGACATCAAATTGCATTATGCAGGTACCGTATGTAATAAGTATTATACATATTATAATATATATATAAAAATGTTAAACGATAATTTAAGGTAGGGTAACCAATGACGCTGTACAAAATAATTACTAGAAAATTAATAAACATATATATATAGGGGCTATTGACCCTACAAGCCACTAGTATATCTTAATGCAGCTAATTAGAAAAAAAAAAAATAATCAGCATAACTTAGAATAAAATAATTAGGCTACCAGAGAAGAGTAGGGATACAGAGGTTCCTGTGCAACTTTTGTACGCCTGATGCCCCTGTCCTTGAGCCCTTAACATACTCAGGTAGTATGGGCCGGTAGGCCTATACATGTAGACCAATATTTAACGCATAGGTACTTCATTAACTGGAACCCTACAACAACACAATCATTAGGCCTAAATAAGTTATTCAATTTCTGCAGCAAGGACTGATTGGGTTCCTACTGTAGGTAGTTTTAATCGGCGTATCTTAATCCTATATACTGTATTAATAGGCAAGGGTGTTTCTTGAAAAACCTTTTTTCTCAGCTCCTGTGCATTGCAGGGAAAATCTATACATACTGGTACTGTTATATGGGAAGGTATAAAGATATTTTCCTGTAGTTATGCAGAATCCCATATAAATTAAAATAGCCTAAAAGATAAGCATACAAATGAATTTAAATTTTTTTTTAAATCAACACGGGTCTTATGTATTGCCATGCTGGTGACGAAATAACAACAAAATAGGAAACAAAACAAAACAAATGGAAATAAATCCAATCATATGTTTTATTTACAGCGTGGGGTGATAATTAATAGAGAAAAGTCTGTACATTACATATTTTGGTATTTCCCTGTTAAAGGGAACGTTCATTATTATCGATGATTTTTTTTTATACAACCATAGATAAAACATACTCCCTTAGTAGATTTCTCATCCTTATGGAACAGCTGAAGACAATTTTATTGTTAGTTCTGTACCGTTTATTGTAGAGATCGTGTTTTGTTTACAATTTTTTTCCCGTTATTACAGCCATTTAAAACCTCGTTTAACCAAATTATACGATCTAATCATAAACAATAAATTGTCCCCTAGTTATTTAACCAAACAGTAAAGCACAAATCAAAAAATTAACCCTAAAATAATAGAAACAAAATTTCGTCGACACTAGCGCCCAGTGTGGCGCACATAAACTAGACATGAAAAACGAGCTTCAAAATTTACAATGGGATGAGAAGTCTACTTGTGTTGGTTAGTCTATGATACAACCTTTACGATACATTACAAATTGACAGCTGATCTTAAGGCTAAAATATAGTCTATTATATGGATTAAGAAATGAAATTCTTCTAAGCTAACCTAACATAACCAACCAAACTTGCTGTATCACTTAAAAATTCCGTTTGATAACAGAACAGGTGAGTGGAGAAAATTAAACAGAGTTTTTAAATGTTACAGCAAGTTTTGATAGGTTAGTTTAGAATAGTTTCATTTCAATATTTTTTTAAAATTATTGTTTGTTGAATCTGAACAATATTTATATAGGCTATCGTAGTTGTCAGCTGATATGTTTCAATTTGTTAATATCGATATATTGAGGAAAAAATCATCGATGATAATGAATGTTCCCTTTAACAGGAAAGTACCCATATTTTTTGTTGTGTTTTTTACTACTGGACGACCTCTTGTATTTTTAAATACCTACTTTTACAGTTTAAGTACTGCCTTTGACTAATATACAACTAGACATTCCATCCCCATGTTAAATTTATAGCCAGTTTTTTTTTAACCAAAATCGTCGTAGTTGATGTGATCCACCGACAGATTGTGCTGATCTAAATTACCGGTACTGATTTCTGTTGAATACACAATCTTTTTTACCAATTCAAACTAATGGAATGAAATATGGTGTGCTAGGAATGAAATATGGTGTGCTATAGCAACTGTTATGACCCATCAGCTTGGCCAGCAACAAAAAATAAGGTAGAAAAAACTGAAAAAAGAGTTTTAGTCGCTAGCGCATTCTGTGACTTGCTCACACAACGTTCTTTTTTTTTAGCAAAAATTGACTACAGCTGGTCCATATAGATGGGATGGGGGATGTCTATAATAAATACAAATTTAAGACTTAATAAAACAATTGTCTATAATTTGTATAGTTTGGCCGCGTAGAAAGCGACCTCCTCCAGCATTGGTTTAGCATTAGCGCGCAGGTCGCTTTCTAAGCGGCTGAACTATAGTGTCATTGGTGTCTCTTTGGGCATGTAACACATTATGTTCAACATTTAAAATCTAGGTTTTATATGGTACAAACATGTTTTTAGTTGATTACTCAAAAATTAAAAGAGATAGGCATAAGCAATGAATACATACCCTTTATATTCGTTGGCAATGAATACATACCCTTTATATTCGTTGGCAATGAATACATACCCTTTATATTCGTTGGCATAGGCCTAAGGTTTCTTATTTTCAAAATTAATTTTTTTTTGCTTAAATTTTGTTGTGATATTAAAGCAAATTTCCCAATAGGGAAGTAGTTACATACAGTAGGTGACAGGTAGACCTAATCCCAGGACCAATAATATTTTTTATTTTTTAATGTAGGCCCTACCTAAAGGAAAAAACACTATTCATTCACATTTTTATATAGTGTACATAGGCCTACCTAATTATATATCTATATAGGTATGCTAGTATATGGTAGGGACGTAGAAATGTAAAAAACAATCTGTATAGATGTACATACAGTGCTCGATTTGTAAAATAATGAGGTGACAGAACTGTAACCTGTTTAATATGATTAGTATCTATTTACGTACTTATTTATACCAATATTTTTAACTTTCCGAAAGAGAGGTGCCGGAACGCTGTTCCACCGCAAACCAAGAACTCAACCGGCTATACAGTGTTATGTGATATATATCTATACATTTATATTTAGCAATAAAAAAAAAGTAATTTGGTTTGGTTTTTTGCCTTTTCTTTCTTGTTCTCTGGTGAAGAAGTAACAATGAATCTATATCAGCACTCCTGAAATGGCGCGTTTTATCCAGTTTTGTACGTTACCAGTCATATTAAATTTATAAAGAGTAATTACAAGAATGAAATCTGGGGGAAAATACAAAAATAATGCAGATTTTCCCTGGTGAAGCAGTAACAATAAATCTAGATCAGCACCTGAATCTGACTCAGAACTCAAATCCTAATATTAACAACATGCTCACACAAGAAACTGTATCACTCAGATACGGGAACTGTTCAACACTGCTTCCCAATATGCGATGTTAACTGTGTAATGCAAACTTTTTACCCAATGCTGCTCTGTGCTGTGCTGCACTGCTCGGACCGTGCCGCACAGCTCAATATGAGCCTGGGCTAACAAGTGTGGGACTTTGGGTTCCAATAGTGGTGTGTGACCAAGGAAATAACAATGTTAAAGCAATGCATTCTCTCAATTCTTAACAAGGACTCACCATCTTTCATCAATGATGGAAACAAGATCTTTATTCGTGACACTCCTAACCATATGAAATGTGTAAGAAATAACTTGTTCTGCTATGACATACCCTTGAAAGAAGATAAGAGTATCATGGAAACACATTAAATCAGTAGCCTATACACAATTGAGGTGTGATCAAATAAAGCCCAAGCTCTGGTAAAATTATTAGGATAACATATCTTACCTAACCCCTTCGAACGAAATGAAGGTGAAATTTACCACTGACAATTTTCAGTCGCAGTGTGAAAGCTGCAATGAACACTGCCATCATAATAAAAGAGCTTCCAGCATAAATAACTTAAATAAGTATTAAAAATGTAGACAAAATTAAGTATTTTAATCCGTGATTAAATTTGGTTTTAAGTTATCTTATTAACCTTGCAGTCAAAGATCAAGTGGAGCTACCAAAAACATTGACTTTTTCCCATTAGCCAGCAAAAATGCCACAATTTGCAACTTTTTATAAATTGTAAATAAACATCTCTTCTTTACATCAACGAGTTTTCAGTTTCCAATTAATGCAAATGCCTAAAAAATAGGCACTCTGTAAGTCCCGAGAATTTTTTGTGTTCTATATCAGTTCTGTATTTCAATTCATATTCAGCATGTCCTGTATAGATGGGCGCACTTGGCATAGAAAAATGACCCGCTGCATGGAAGATCTGTAGAGTGATTGTAATTGGAAGATCTCATTTGCCTGATCTTTCAGCCTCAATAAACTGTGAACTATGTTAAACTGTTTTGAGTGTTTTATTTTGTTTTCATGTGAAAGTATTGTACCCGAAGCTTAGCTTAAATGTTTATGTATAAACTTTTGACAGCTTTGGGAAGATTAGTTTTGCTGTTGAAGGTCTGTTTTTTGGCATGTAAGCCTACATTTATTAAAACGAGTTCGCGAAGCATGATCAGGCCATGGGAACGGTTGCTTTATGGGGATTTTTGTTAAGAACAGTTTTTTTTGTATTTTTGTCCCTCAATTCAAAAGATACAATTTTACAATGTATCTTTAAAACATTTGGAGAGCTTAAAAACAAATAATTTAGTACAGTAGACTACATAAAAATGTTTTTTAGAGTTATTGGTTACGGAGAAAAAAAAATGCAAATTAAAAATTCCCATGTTATTCTAATAGCAAAGATTTTTAATTATTGTTTTTTCCTTATTTATAGATACATTTTTATAAAATTGGGTAAATTAATTTGTTTCTTATCATACTATTATTATTTTATTAAAAAATATACTATATTACCCTCCCTGTAGCAGCAAACCTAGGTACTAGTTAATTATTATTCTTAATATTATTTAATAGGTTTGTGAAAATCAAATCAAGCAAATGGAAATTTGCTTAGTATGCAGGTTTGCTGAGGTGGGGGTATTTTTATTCATACTTTCATTTATCTAATTAATACGCTACGAGTACATGAAACTTTGTCGGTTGAACTCCTCCGCCATTTCTTAACCGATTTTATCCATTGACTTCTCATTGGAAAGAGCAATGAGACAAGTAGATGTGACAAGTAGATTTGCAAACTGGCCTTACATTTTTGAAAAAATCCCTTGGGCTCTGCGCCAGTGGCTTTGAAAGTTCCCATGTTATCCTTATGAAGAACATAATTGTTTACATTTTGATTAGCTGTATAATTTATTTGCTGTTATTTATTTTTCAATTCAATGAAATGCATTGAGTACATTTATTTACTATTTGAGTTTGTGTAAACATAACCCCCAAGACTATGATCGTGTTAGCATGGTTGTATCATAAATTTGTGTTTTTATCGTTGTTTTGTGTCGCTATGACGGATCGTTTTAGCATGATTATAATTTAAATTTGTGCATTCATCGTTGTTTTGTGTAGCTATAATTTGTTTATTTGTGGTTTTATAATGCCTCCGAAGCGACGACAACGAAACATAGACAGGAGGCGTAATCGTGATAACGACCGCAGCTACAGAACAGTGTGCTGCGTAATAACATAGATAAAAGGAGTACTTCTTTTAATCTATGGTAATAGGTTTAACTCATCACAGTCAGCACCTGACCCTGGACAAACTCAACTATTAGTTTACAAATTCGCCCTTTAACACTGCCCCCAAAACGACTTTTGGTTCTCAATTAGTCCTCTATCATGACCTGTGTTGCCTGTACAGCGAGGCATTTTAAGAAGGAGAAAACCGGCCAGAATGCTTTAGGTTTATCAACGAAGATAAATATGGTCTGAGTTACACACCAGTAATCTTTGAGTTGACTCTTTTAAACACATTGTAAATATGACTGTTATTCGTTTTGAAATAATTCCTGTAATACTTGGCAATTGCTCGAAGTCGAGCAACATGTACACTAGTTTTCTATTAATAGCAAATAAACTGGCATACTCTCTAAATCAATACGATGTTTGCTTCAAACAACTATATTGTGGAAATATCGAAAAAAATCACAATTTTTATACATCTTTGGAAAATTTATTTAATTTGAAGGTCTGTATTTTGACCGTTATTTACGCTACATACTTGCTGTTGGGCTTAAACTGTCACAAATTTATCCTCGTTTAATTATATAAAGTAATACTTTCAGTAAAATCAACTGTTCGCGAGATAGAGTGAAAACCCACAGGAATGGTCAGATTTTTGCTATTTCGTTAACAAGTGGCGCGCCCCGCGGCGCACGGTGGTATCTCGAGGTGGATAGCTTTGATTTCATGTTATGAACCCACACTAACAACATATCCAAAAATTAGAACTACCGGACCTTTTGCACAGCAACCCCCATTTTTTTGACACATTTACTGGACTATCTCTGCTTGAAACAAAACAGATTTCTATGTTAAAATAACTATCGGTCTCTACAATCTTACAATGGACTGTTTACAACAAGGTAATGATAAACTACGAAGTAATTTTGGATTTATTTATTGACAAAAATGTTTTAATAACAAAAAAAATTTCCAAAACAATGCAATATCAGGCTTGTATAGATCCTGCTGACACCTATGTAAAGTATGGAAAAATAAGATTTCCTAACATAAAATGTATTGAATCCAATTTTAATAAAAGTTTGACGGACAAAATTCGGTGTACTAAATTCACCCAGAAGAATTCATTCTCTAGAAAATACAGACAACTACTTTTTAAATTAAATTCCTCTGGCGATTTTATTTTATGGAAGTTTGATCAAAAACCTATTTTTGTACTCAAATTCATCCAGATAATTTCTCTAGGCAAAAACTTTTAACAAGTCAAATTTAACGTTTTTAGTTACCCTTTTTATAGAGAAGCCAAATAGGTTTTGCAATAAATAATGCTGCTTTTACATATTACAAATTGTGTTTACTAAGAAAATAGGGGCAATGTATTTGTTATATAAAAATATATTATTCTTTTCACCATGGAAGGCATTAATAAATACTAAATAGGTGTAAGTAAGGTTGATTTGCAAGTCCTGAAATGATATTCTGAAAGTGAACTAGCATTTCAGAACCAACCGGAACACAGATGCTACAATCTAAATCATGCATCGTTCCACAACAAGGAGAAAAATTAGAGGCAATACTATAATGAGATTCCAAAATTTAACTGGAAGTTGATCTTAAAATATTTCCAAGGAAAATTTAATATATTATAGTTTTTTTTTTTAGGATATAACTAACATGTTTTAGTTCACAGTATACTACATACAAAACATTCAAAAACTGTGGTAAGTAGCCTACTAATTTATGAAAAAAAAAACAAAAAAAAAACATTTAAGTAGGGACATATGACAGCTTTTTTAACAAAGATTCTGTAAAGCGAAAAAAAGCTCAAAGAAATAAGGTTTAGCAAACCATAGATAAGGCAAACAAGTCAATGGTGTTCTTTTGATTAATTTCTAAAATTTAAAACAATTTAACATTATTTAAAAATTAGGAGAACATGTTTAAGGGGTTTCCTTAGAAAAATTGGAAACTATTTGATTTTGAAATATTGCACTAATAGTATATTTCATCACTAGGGCGTAAAGTGACTCTTTTCCACCCGAGCTCAAGTTTTATGATCAAGGCAAAGCCGAGGTTAGGAAATGAGCTATAGCCAAGTAATGTCCTAAATTTTTCATCATATTACATCATGATTATTTAACAAACTAAGTTAAAACAATTTGGAAAACAAAAATATTTTTCATGTAAAGATAACCTCTCAAAATTAACGTAAAACTGGTTTTCAATTTTGCTGATACAAATAAGCAGCTGTAGTTAGCTATTCAATCATTTCGTCTATTACAATTCTGTTGGTGTGTAGTGTGTTCTGTTCGCCTCGATCGTAAAACTTTACGTTTTTCCAAATAAGTAATTAGTCACTTGTATTGAATTTTGAAATGGAATTAATTGTATTTTAACTTCACTAGCTGACTTGTTAAATAACTTAAACTGAATTTATGCTTAGAAAACTAAATTTTTAAAAGAGGAAATAATTAAACAACTTATAAATGTCTATAAAAAATACATGAATGCTTTAAAACCAAAATACTCACTTCAATGCATACTATTACAGATAAATAATAAGAAAATAATCAACTATGCTAGGGAGCTAAGGGTCTATGCTAAATATAATTACAATAAAATTTATGATAATCTAAAACAACTAACAAAGACACGATTAAATCAAGTCAATTAAACGATCACAGAAAGAAATATGATTTTATAACTCAACGGTATACTATAAAAATGTAAAACGTTAACATGGCATCATATCTTTTGACACATTAAACCTATGTACAAATTAATGAGACATTTCATAATGTTTGAATCGCAAATCAAACTAAATTAGCTGTATTTGTGCTGGACTTTTATAGGACGATAATTCACTAAAAAGTTTAAGCAATCAATTTTAAAGTTAACCAAATGGCAGTAATTCAGGGTAGGAACTACAAATAAATGACATTCAAAGTAAAGGCAACAGCTAACATATTTGAGACTTGATGCCAATTTTTTGCCAGCACTTTACAATAACCTCCCCTCTATTGTGCTGTCTAACTCTCTCTATGCCTAGTGTTTGCACACTAAAATAAGTAATAAGTATATCGCTAGAAAAATATGAAGACAACCATTGCTTCTGCTAGACTAGTTGGCTGAATCCACCCTGTCTTGGTTCATTGTGGGATTATTTCAGGGGATTTTTGTCCGGGGACTCGGGAGTTCTCAGAGAAACTTCAGAAGGGAGTGAAAGGGGAATCTTCATTTCTTCAGAGATGGAATTCTTGTGAAAGTTTCCGTTGTGGATGTCACGTGGAGCTCGTTTGCCAAAATGTCGCTCGATCCACTTCAACATGGTCAGAACAGAGTCGGTGCTCGGCAAACGGCGATCAGCGGCTGTCTTGACCACTTGCGAGGATGTCACTCGGAACGTAGCGGCCATACCTTTGAGTGCCTGTAAAGAAATTAAAAGTATCAATCTATTAGAAAAATAACGGTAAAGTACTTGGCTTCTGTGAATTCGGGCAAAAGAAACTCTTTGAATAGAAAATAATCAGAAGTCTGTGGTAAAGTTGGTGTGGTATGGTATACCTCTTTGTGATTGGTTTAGTGTGGATTTCTTCTCTGTAAAAATGTGGATAATTAGCCAACAATATTGGAATAAAAAAACAATGCTTGAGATAATTGGTAACGTTACTTACAAAAGGCAGATATTTACCTTCATAACATTTTTGTTTACTTAGGTATGAATGATCGCCTTTAGTAAAAAAGGGCAAAAAAAAAACAAAAAAAAAATAGCAAAAATGTTTGTGCTTTTTTAGCAAGCAAGGAATACTTTGATGCTTATTTATACACAAGATTCAAACCATCCTCCTGTAATATCTATACTGACTAACATAATGCTAAAACAAGTAGTCCCAATTATCAAAAAACAGATTCCACCAAAAATGTTGATTCTTGGACATAGGCATTTTATCTATATCTTAATGAGTACCTCTCTCTACATCACAAATTAAGAGTTTCACATTGAATTTACCTCCATGGCATCCTCATCGGTGGTGTCATCGCCAGCGTAGATGATGCGTATGCGCTCGCACCAGTCAAGGCCGAACGCCGTGCGGAGGATGTAGATAGAGGCTCGGCCCTTGTTCCACTGTACAGGTGGTTTAGCTTCTATGGCACAATGTGCCTGTCCTGCAGTGAAACCTGCAGCCTCGATAAGAGCCTGAACAGTAAAATATTTCATCTAAACATTAAGGAGTTAATAAAACTAGATGTAAAAGTAACTGGAAACTCAGACTGCGTAATAAAACATTTATCTGCGACTGTGTAAATATTACAAGATTTAAAATACCGGATGCGACAATTGTCTCTAACAATTGTGAAGGCACTATTATTGTGCCTTGCAATATTTGCAGGTGCTTTCTACCATCACGATAACGAGTCAAAACATTTTATTCAGCCAAAGCTAACAACAGATTGTCTTAGCTATGTCAAAAATAAAAGAAATAAAAATACACTTGTTACAATAATATCACAAAAAATAAAAACGGTCATAGCCCAGGTAAAAGGTTGGCTTATCCCGATTTTCTGACTTGGCGCTTATTCACTCTAGCTTATAGGCTAGGCTCCACTTGGCTCTGATTTGTTTATATCAGGACTGGAAACTTCAGAAACAAGTTAATTTTTTTTTAGAAAAAGCAATTAGATACAGGTATATAGAATATTCTTTCAGGGCCATATAATGACTGAATGAACTGAGACCCTTTCTCCCATTGTACACACGTCCAATATGTATCACGTAAGTTTATTTAGGGAGACTGGAATCACACACATCATGTTTGAACTTCAACCCTTAACTAATTGTTAACATTTTACTAACCTTGGCTTGTTTAACCATCTCGGGCCGCAGGTCCAGCGGTGTCTCCCGGTAGTGGAAAGTCAGCAGCGCTCCCTTGTTTTCTACCCAGGCACCTTCCTTGCAAACCTGACGTAAAATACTTGTTAACTCAAGAAATCATATAAACATAGAATAAGTTTAGCAATTATCTCATGGGACAGGGGTTTAAAATTTTTGCGTGATTGTAAATACAAGTAGCCCATTTGTTTTACTTTTAAAATTCATTCAAACTAGCATTTAATTCACTAAAAAACATCATCTTACCACACTCATACATCAAGCTAAATAAATAATTGAAGCAATGATCATGAATAACAAAGTTATTGTTGGTCCAAAATAAATCCTGCAATAACAAAAAATATATTATGATCTAGTTTACCTTCAACTGAGACCAGAAACAATTACATAATAATTTAACATTGTAGTTATGGACTTATCACTAAGTATTTCAACAAGAAAGAAAAAAACGAACAGCAACGATGAATTTACAATACACAGTATTCAAGTTTTTCACAAAACCTTTTGCAGATAATTTCTTTCTACAAGAAAGTTTAAAAATACTTTATTAAATGCGAATACTTTAAGTTGTTCAATATGTAAATAAATATATGGTTACGTCTCATGCTGCAAGTATACAGGTGACGAGTTAGTGTCTTAATGCCCAAAGCGTGCACCAAATGAAGTAGGAAAATTGTACTTGAATATTACTAGCAGTGTCACATTGTTAAAAGTGGTTCTTTGCACATGGTCCAATAGTTCTGACAATTTTACAATGTCCAATAACATTTGGTTTGGTTAGGTGAGACTAGTAATTTCATTTCACATTGATACATAAACACCGCAATCGATCAACCAGCATTTACCGAGAGTTCCTAACTACTTATGAGTACCTATGGGCACTTTGAAAATACAGTGGCATTTTACCTTGGACAGTTGCTAATGTCCAGTTTTGGACACAATGCCACAGCTCATATTTTAAAAGTATAATATACCCCGTTTCACAAGGTTATAAGGTTGAAAGAAATAGATTTTGTGAATCATGCACTAATCGATCCTTCTTCTGTACATCATGAAACTGCTTAATATTTCATTTTGGACCTTGTGAAACTTTGGCTTTTTAGTTTTTATCCAAACAATTTGATACTTAGACCCTTTGAATGTACCCTGTATAAAATACAATCATAAAATACACGTTATGAATAGCCAGCAGAAACATAAGTCAAAACTCAAAACAAACCATGCAACATTTGAAAAGCCAAGTCAAAAGGCAGGCATACACTAAATAAATGTTTAATGGTTTAACTTAATATTCTAATAGAAGATAAGACAATGAATCCAAAAATAACATCTTTTGATACATGTTGGTAAAAAAGTTGAAATAATTTAACCAAAACTATACATTTTAAAAGTAAAAATTACAGCCAAAATATAAATAAAAAAACAGAAGCAGAAAAGTTGTGAATGTTTATCACGAATCTGTAAAAGGTTATATAATAAAATGGTTCTGTTATACTTAAGTAATAACCATAGCCACAATATTTTACATTCTTTTACGATTGTTGTTCACCAGAGTTTATGCAGCATTTGCTAGCTAGCTGATGTTGTTTGCTCAGTCCATATCCATGCTAAGACAGCGTAAGTCAACGAAACGGGGCATTGTAAGGGTTAACTAGGCGATTTTACTGTGCAACAAAGTAGGGTCCAACCAATAAACTTTCCTGTAGCACAGGGTGGATTGAAAATGCTCATTTAATTTCCTGATCGCACCAGAAAACCAGTCAAAACAAACTGACCAAGCCATCATCAGAACCTAATTTGCCTTGGCTACAACTTTTACTTTCATAACCAGTCAATATTTCAATTTTTTATTTTATCTGCACTGTAAAAATCGCCTAGTACGTCATAAGGAAGAATGTGGAAGGTGCAAGTAGCGGTTATAGCTGCAGATGCGACTTCACAGTCTGCAATCTGACAATCGCATTGCAAGGTTCAACACGCTATCTCTGACCTGGTGAGGATCTGCAAGCTGACGTCGCCACTGCTACTGCCACAGAAACATGGAATTAGAGTAGTAAACAACCGAGTGAGAAGGAAAACCCAGACTGTGGTCAATCACTTGCCTCAAGCAGTCGTATACGTTTTGTTAATATAGTTCAGGTTGTGAATTAGAGGAGAGGATTAAACAAATTGGTATTTGTTTAAATTGAAAAATAAAACTCTACAGATTAACACTTGTAGTCAAAATATTGGAATTAAAATTTGGACAATTGGAAAGCACATTAAGTGAGAGTTAGGACTGGTTTATGCTGTACAACTAAAAAACCGTGAGCATTACACAAAACCTAAAGGATAGAAATGTTCCCAAGACACCAATAAGCACCCAAAATAAAACCAAGCCACAACATAAAGTAAAACAATAAAATGTTGAACGAGTAAAAAATATAAGGGAGTAAGTTACCTGGTCTTGCAAGTTTTTGAGCAAATTGCTGCACTTGTCTTGGTATTCAGCGGGCATCGGATGTACGAACCTGCTGCCATCTGGGTGAAGAATCTCTAGTCCGTGGTTACCAGCGTAAGTCAGACCTTCAATACCAACCTGTGCAACAACGGAGATAGATTATATTTGAGGATCACAGTTGGTAAATATGTACTACCAAATATACACTGGGCAGCTATTTTATACATTCCATGGTTATAGTGGTTACAGTGACTTCTAATGACACCTCTAGAAGTAGGGTACGGAATGGAGTGTCACCTGCAAAATTTGTTGAAAGGATGAAACAGCTGATTGGATTGGACAACAAAGCAACCTCACAGCCCTCCTCCCCGCATCCAGAAAGCAGCACGATTGATCTCTGCTCTACAATGTTTGACCCGGAAACACAATCAGCAGCGGACACTCCTCATGAGCTCCCACTTCACCTGACACCAGACATAAACTTGTCTGTTATCTCTGACACATCACCATGGCGAGGATGGTCGACACCAGAGCAACGTCCTGTCACTTACACATTGCACGGACAACCACAGAAAGATGAGATATGCCTGACTTCTACTAGTCCAGTATCTTCGCAATCACATCAGCAGCCCGTCCTAGCCCCTGGCGATCTCCAATACAGCGAGGCGGTGAAGTGTGTGTCAAGTGAAGTGGAAAAGCAGAGTAACCGTGCCAGTGAAAAGTGTAGTCTAAATGTAAATAGTTCTCATGTAAATAGTAGCTTTGATGTAAATAGTATAATTTCCAATAGTATTCTAATGAACGATCAAATCTGTAATCCTGACGTTGCACAGCTTCTCTCAAATGGCTTAAATAGTTTAAACTGCAATCGTTACAAAAAACTTCCAAACATATAAAACAACAAAATCCTACTAACGCATCAATGTTCCGTCAAAACAATAAAAGTAAAACAAACTGCAATCAAAATAGTAATAACGAAATTAGTATCCTACACCAAAATATCCAGCACCTACCCTCCAGACTAGACATGTTGTCTATCTTACTAGATGAAATTTCAGTGGATTTATTAGTACTGACAGAACATAAAATGAAAGAAAATTAAATAAATCGTTTGAATATAAAAAATATGACAGTTAAATCTTTTTATACTCGAAAATTAACATGTGGAGGTGGTGTATTAATTTTGGCCAGATCAGCACTCAAAGTAGAAACTCTTGAATTAACAGAAATAACGAGTTTGATTCAAGACAAAGAATTTGAGTGTTGTGTGGTTAAAGTACGAGCAGGAAAATATTCTTTTATTTTAGCTGGTATTTACAGAACTCCTAAATTGTGTTATGACAAAATATTTTTAGAAAAATTTGATTTACTATTGGAAATTTTAAATAGAAATTATAAAAACATAGTGGTTGTCGGAGATGTGAATATTGATGTGTTGGAGGAATCAAAAAATAACTAGGATGGTCTGCCGTTACACTTTAGACGCATAAATGAGCGAAGCATTATTTAAAGATTGTCAATGGCTAAAGCAGCTAACACCCTTCAATATGTTCCCTTTCAACAGATTCACTGTTTGTTTGCCCGATATTATTTCAATTCTAAAGAATGACAAATTTATCTGATAGTTTATGCTGCACCTTTGTAGTGAAACTGGCCATCCTGACCATTTGCTTGTACTTTGTAAATGGGCATAGCAGGATGTACTCGTGCAATCAACATTTGTTCTACAATCGTCAGGTCAGTTAATTCGTTCGGGACACTTGACACATCCATATTATTTAACACCGTGAATTTAGTTGCATTTGAACGACAACGCGAACAAATCGGTGATTGGTTTGAAGCTGTTGAAGTTGTTGGCGATGACAGTTAGTGCAAGTGTAACATTTTTGTGCATCTAATTCATGTTGGAATTGATTAGCTAACTGCCTATCATTATCAGCTTCTTCCGCCACTGCTTCATCTGGTTCTTCTTGTTCACGACGCCACTCTCTTAACAATATTTGCATTATCGGTGCGACGACCAATATTATGACGTGGCCTTTGAGGCATGCTCAAAACAAATATAGCAAAACTGTTACTTCCATTGATAAACTGTTACATTCCAACTTTAACCTATGATGAAAGTAAACATTGAAATGTAAACAAAACAGTTACAAACAATTATCATATGTTTATCTTATTTAATTGAAACGAGATAAACCCATATGTCATAAACCCAATACAATTTTTCTTTCAACTTACATTAAAATAACAAGCGAAATTGCGTGACCCGTAAAATAAAATCCAGAAGGAAATTTGCAAATATTTTTTACCAAAACATTGTGCTCAGTATTCTTTAACTGTTGGCCAAATATCATATCAATTGGTCAAGCCATTACATTCTGATGCCCTTACAAAGAAGTTACAAAGTGAGGGAAAGTGAGCTTCGCTCAAAAAATTGTTGTTTAATGTTTTAAACTCTAACCATATAAAAGCATTGGTGAATTTCCCAACTAGAATTTGCAAAACAAAGAAGAGTGCAATTGATAATGTTTTTACTAATATAGCCAAGAGCAAAATAAAAGTTTCAGGAATAATTACTGAATTGTCTTACCATGATGCTCAGCTGTGTGTAATTACTGATAACAGTATGGACATTTCAAAAATCCAAAAAACAATAATTGTAACATACCGTAGGAAATTTACTGATGATAGCATTGCTCAGTTTTGTAAACTATTAGAAAGTGAAAACTGGATTAATGTGTTTAATGCACCTGTTAATAATAAGTTTGACGTTTTCTTTGATATAATTAAGTATGATTTTGATGTTTGTTTTCCTAAGGTTAAAAGTAGATTAACCAGAGTAAATAGTAATTGGATTACAGATGATATTATAAATAAAAGAATAGATATTTTAGATTTGAGTAATACTGCTAGGAATTTTAAAGATAAATCATTTCAAAATATTCTGATAAAAAAAAGAAAGAACTAAAAAAAGAAGTCATTGAAACTAAATGTAATTAATTATCATAGCTTATTGGAAAAATCACGAAATGTTAGTAAAACTACATGGGATATTGTAAATAGGGAAGTTGGAGCAAATCATAAATCAAGGCTTGGTGAAAGTTTAAGTTTACCATATATTAAAGCCAATAACTGCACGGACGTTGAAGAAGTCTGTCATCTCTTTAATGATTACTATACAATGATGGTTGAAAATGATATATTGCCCAAACTAATATCTTCTACGGGTTCAAAAAATATTATTACACCCTCCCAAAAATTGATATCAAAATTCAGTCTTTCACCAATTACTTATGAAGAGCTGGATAACATTATAACTTCTTTTGATAATAAATTTTCCACTGGCTGGGATGAAATACCAATGCCAATAATTAAACAGGCTCGTCTATATATATAATTACCATTACTACATGTTATAAACTCTTCTTTTATCTCTGGAATTTTCCCCGAAAAATTAAAAAAATCAAAAATTAAACCTTGTTATAAAAATGGTAACCCAGAAGAAGTGTGTAATTACAGACCTATCTCATTGTTATGCTCATTTTCAAAAATTTTTGAGCGAGTTGTGCATATACAACTTTCAAAATACTTAGAGGAAAATAATTTATTAGATAAGGAACAATATGGTTTTAGAGAAGGAAGGTCCGTGATTGACGCAGGTGTCGATTTCTGTGAATCTATAATTAATTCAATTGATTCAAAGGAAAAAGTAGTAGGAATATTCTTAGACTTAACAAAAGCCTTTGATAGTGTCTCACATGATTTACTTCTTGAAAAACTTAAATATAACGGTGTAAAAGGGAGAGCTTGGCGTTGGTTTGAATCTTATCTTACAGGCAGGCAGCAGTATGTCACAATTGATCACATAAATAGCCATAATCAATTAATTACTTACACTTCCTCAACAAAAATGGTTAAGTATGGTGTCCCTCAAGGATCAATATTGGGGCCTTTATTATTCTTAATTTACTTAACTGACTTCCCCTCATTGATAGAATCTCCCAATCGTGTTTGTTTATTTGCTGATGACATCAATATAAAAATATCTGGAAATTCAAATACTGATGTGGAAGTCTCTTCTTTTGTTGAGCTTACCAAATGTAACCAATATTTAAATGAAATCAATTTATTACCGAATACAATAAAAACTAATTATATAAATTTTTCTTCAACGAGCAAAAATTCACCTGAGTTTAATATTTTTATGGATACAATTTTACTAAATGAAGTTAAAACAATAAAATTTCTTGGATTGCATATAGATGATAAATTCAACTGGGACAGTCATGTTGAAAACGTTTGTAATAAAGTCAACTCAGGCATACATGCATTAAGACAGATGTCAAAATTTAGTAGTTTAAAAACCTAAAAAATAGTATATCATTCCTTAATTGAATCACATATTTCTTTTGAGTTGTGTCTTTATGGGGGCACATCAAATTTTAACCTAAATAGCATTCTGGAACTTAAAAAAAAAGCAATTCGCATTATGTTAAAACTAAAGTCAAAAACATCTGCAAAAGAGCAGTTTAAAGAAATATGAATTATGACTGTTTTAGCTTATACATTTATCAAATAGCCCTTTATATTAAATCAAACCATGAAAGATTTCCAAAATTGAACTCTTTTCATACATATTCAACCAGAAAAGGTAATGAATTGGGGTTCAACAGATATAATTTATCGGTTTATGAAAAAGTTCCATCTTATAGTGGTGTTAAATATTTCAATAGCTTACCTGACAATATAAAAAATATAAGTAATTTTAATTCATTTAAAAAACGTTTGAAATTATTTCTCACCAACAGACCCTTGTATAAATTAGAAGATTTTTTTCCAACTTCCTGAAATTTGATTTTTTTTATAATAACAATGTTCTTTGTAAGTAGTCTTAAGTTTAATATTGTGTTTTTATAACTGACTTCATTCTGTACAAAATGTGCAATATGAATAAAGTTATTTTGATTGATTGATTGATTGATTGATATGGCAACCACAGTGAAATTTCCAGTAACTGATTAGATTTACATCTCGGTATTATTTCAAGATTTGATTACATTTGGAAACTTTTCCACTTACCCCAGTTTTAAAATATTATCAATCAAGATGGGAACGCTGCCAGGGTGCGTATTTTAACCAAAATACAGTATGAGCGAAGGATGAGGGTAGAACTGTGTGAGATGATCTGTGTGGCTTTTTACTGACTGAGAACAGCTTTTTTATCAGTCAGGATCATTTATTTAAAGCCCAATGATCAGGGACAGCTTAATACTATTTAATACTTAATTTCCTCTTTAATACTATACCTAATTTTTAAAAACCCTGCAATGACTAGAGATTATTCAAAGAAAAAGGAGGATAGCAGCTAGCTTACCTTGAAAGTGTGGGTAGGCCATAGAACAAGTAGAAAAATATTTTTCACACAATATTTCGTCCCCTAAGGGACTAAGTCAAGTGTAGAGAAAGAGTTTATAATTAGGTAATTTATAAACTCTTTCTCTACACTTGACAAAGTCCCTTAGGGGACGAAATATTGTGTTGAAAAATGTTTTTCTACTTGTTCTATGGCCTACCCACACTTTCAAGGTAAGCTAGCTGCTATCCTCCTTTTTCTACAATTTAAAATCCTGGCCTAGAGCCTTTCCTTAAACAAAACTAGAGATTATTCAAATTATTTTAAGAGTGAGGAAAAGCTAGCTAAACAATTGTGTCAGTTAAAGTGGTCCTTAATTTTTTCATTCTGTTGGATAGGTGTATGAAAATTATTGAATTTCGAGAAAAAAACCTTAAATCTATAATCAAATCTTTTTTACAATTATGGACCTGTTTTGTTTTGGTGTCTAAATACAAGGTATTTTATCACACATGCCATAATGAAATTAAGTGTTTGAGATATTTGAAAATGAAAATAAATATTTGCTATTTCATTTATCAGTTTTCACTCGGGCTCTTGTGTTTTTCTACACTATGTTGGCGTTTCATAGTGTGTCAGCTGTCAGCTGTCTGTCACTTAATATATATGCAACAAAAATACAACTTTACTGATACTGATTCCTTCAGCTTACTGAGTGTAGTTAATTCAAGTTTTGGGGCATTGTTTCATTAACCTATATACACACACAAAAACTAAACATATAGAAGACTTAATATATACTAGTGTACCTGTTGCTCGAATTCGAGCAATTGCATTACAGGCGACTCAAAGATTATGGAAATACTCACAATCTACAAAACAGTTACACATAATCAAAATATTTTGTAAATAAATATCTTATCTTTTTTCGAAAAGCCGATCTTGTTTTTTAGTGTTTTCTACAAATTTTTCCCTCTCATAGTCGCATTAGGTTGTCTATGATAACGATTATAAATGAAAAAAAAAAAAAAAACATTATTTCTATTTCTTCTACTTGGTTGTGTTTCTATGACTTTTTCAATTTTTCTATTGTATGCAAATCGGTTATTTCAATGATTGCTCAAGAAATGTAGAACAGTGTTAATTCAGTTTTATTTTTAGCCTATATCAAATTGTCCAGGATTTCTCACTCTTTCCCATTCTAATAATTACACCAACCCAAGATTCGTCTACAGATGCAATATGCCAACGAATATCACCTACGTACAATCTCCAAGAAGTGATAAAAAAGGCAGAAACCAACCCATACAATAGATATAAGACTCCAAAAGAAATAATTTTAAGAGTTACTGTGATAATAGGATTTTCCACTGATTTGGTAATAAAACATTATATTGCAAAACATGACGCGATGCAGAAGAAAATCCATTTTAAAATCAGAAAACCCCATCGCAAATACTGTACTTCATTTTGACAAATTCAATAAATCACAATGTAAATATTAACAGCTGTTTCATTTAAAAGTAGTGTAGAATTATGCATATGGTCGTAATGTAAACAAATCTGAAGAGGCAACTTTAAAGGCTTCTGGGGCAGAGCCCCAAGGGAATTGACCTCGTTTCTCTTTTGATGGCTCATCTACAGACCAAGACCTTTCTTTAGAGACCCCTACCAAGTTTCTACGCCCAGCCGTTCTCTCAAATTAGCTGTGACAAAAACCCCGTTTTCCTCCATAAGAATAACATGGGATGGGAATTCAAAGGCCACTGGGGCAGAGCCCCAAGGGATTTCACCATGTTTCTCTTTTGATGGCTCATCTACAGACCAAGACCATTCTTTAGACACCTCTACCGAGTTTCTACGCCCAGCCGTTCTCTCAAAATAGCTGTGAGAAAGAAAAACTGTTTCAAATTAATATATAGATTTTACCAACCATTGATTTGACATTGTGTACGTTCCGTCCAGAGATGATGGATATGTATACATCAGGCATGTTTGAAAGTCGCTCCAGCACTGCCTTGGTTTCATTTGGCAACACTGCTAGATCAGGGTGAGGAGCCAGTGGTGCCAATGTTCCATCGTAGTCTAGCAGTAGCGCCAACTTGTGATCACCAACGTACCTAGGGGTGGCATTTACATCCCAATAACATTGTGTTCTGTGTATAAATATCTCAATACTTGGGTGTCATTTGGTAACAACACTAGATCAGGGCGAGGAGCCAGTGGTGCCAAAATTCCATCATAGTCTAGCAATAGTGCCAACTTGTGATCACCAATGTACTTGTAGTCTCTATAATGGAACCTGCTTCTGACCCTCCACCATACAGCCTATAGCGGCAATATTAATATCTAAATAACATGTGTCTAGTGGGTAAATATCCCATAAATCTATAAAGAAATATAAAGTGTGACCACAAGTGATACACAAACAAAAATACAGTAACAATGTAGTTATGTTTCTATAGATTGGACTGTTTTCATCAGCAAAATCAAGGGAAAAATGAACTCCGGCTGATTCTGTTTTGCCCAAGGAATACTTAGGTCTTGAAACACATGTCTTAAAAACAACCGCTTTGGCAGGGTAACAAAATCATATAACTTAAAAACTTTTTTGAGGTGAAAAGTTTGCAAATACCCAATGCTCTTCAACTCACTTGGCCAGATACTCTTCAAAGTCGTCTAAGGTCACAGGCTGCATGGTTGTAGGCATCATCTCCTCCCCATCCTCAACTATCAACGAGCCCATAGCCTTGAGGAAGGACTTCATCCAGTAGTCCACATCATAGATCTTCTCTCTCCGTCGCAAGTAGTTCATACGGAGAGTGCGTTCATCCTCTGGCATCGTCAGAGCCCTGCAAACACCAAACACATAAAACAGGAATGATACATGTTAATACAGAACGACTCCTAAAATTGACACATTGACATGATGAAATTGTAGTGTCTTGGATATCAGCCAGAGCAAGGTTGGATAAGCAAACAAGTCGGGTAAGACAGAAATTAAATTTTTTAAGCCAATCTAAATAAGTTTGAAAGTCGATTCTAGGCTTTTGAGTTTGTCAAATATTAAAACCACAAACTTTTTCTTTTTTAGTTATAACATTAAACTCAGTTTCAAATATAATTTTCAGAATAACGTCACACATAAAGATAATGAAAGCTAGTGCTAGTCTCAATGTTGATAATTGAGAAAGACCCTTGAAGTCTAACCAGTTAAAATTATTTTACTGAACAGAATTACAATCTCAATGTTACCTATGAATGATATCAGCTGCATGTTCTATCTCATAGGGGTTGCAGATGAGTGCCTCGTGCATCATCTCCCCAGCTCCAGCGAAGGGCGAGACAACCAACACTCCTGGAGGTTCTCGTATCTGACAAGCTACAAACTCCTTGGCCACCAAGTTCATACCTGCAAAACACACAAACACGGTATGATAATGATAGCCTTCCACCTGTTTGAAAGTGTTGTCCTAGATAAAAAAATTGACATATAATGGTTAAAACATACCTCGTCAGACAATCCTTAACATGTAGTGTCGATGTTGCTACATATGTTTCGGCGGTTATTTACTGATCTCCGCCATCGTCAGGCAAACAAAAGGATCCACTTGATGTGTCGTCAGAATAAATAAATAATACACACATTTTACAAAACACAAAAACGAAAATGATAGGCCTATCAATTACACGCACTGCAGTGCGTGTAATTGATAGGCCTATCATTTTCGTTTTTGTGTTTTGTAAAATGTGTGTATTATTTATTTATTCTGACGACACATCAAGTGGATCCTTTTGTTTGCCTGACGATGGCGGAGATCAGTAAATAACCGCCGAAACATATGTAGCAACATCGACACTACATGTTAAGGATTGTCTGACGAGGTATGTTTTAACCATTATATGTCATATTACGCAATCCTGGGGCTATAAAAATGAATTTAAAAAAAATTGATTTTTCCAAACAACGATTTGAATTGTTTGAGCAGCTAGTGGTTCTTGTACTCATAGTGGGATCGATTCCGGATCCAGGTGCCGTTTGTACTAGGCAAATGAAAAGTACGTTATCTAAAAAAAATGTTGATTTTGGATTGTAACAAGAGCAGGGCTGTACCCATGTTTAAATAACCCCGCTACAGCAAACGCACAGACTAAGCAAATTTATATTTTCTGACTGGATTTTTACTAAAATTTATCTTAACTGTAACCATATCAGATTTATCCCCCCCCAGATTTATTCCAATTGTGATCGTCTTCCTCAATCACAGCATCATCATGGTTCTTCCTTGCAATCACGATTTTCTTACTACATACCACAATGTTAAAAAGAGAGCTAACAGAACGCCCAAACCATAATCTCCTCCCATTCCTGTTCAGATTTCACAATTTTGGTTACCTGGTCGGCTTTACACCGAGTATTGAATATGAGGGAGTATGATTACTCACCGTCTCTGAGTGGAGTGACCAGTGCGACGCTAGCTTCTCTGTAGAACGCCGCCAGCTCTGCCTGGCTGACACAGCCGTAGATGTAGCGGATCGGACTCCAGTTGGGAGTTGTGAAGCGACCATTGATTCTTCCCACCAGCTGATCCATTTCCTCCTTCAGCTCCTGATACTCCTTTACATCTGTGCGTGAAGGCACGGCTATCTGGAGGAAGGAGACCTGCGCAACAGTGTGACAATCATCCATGGTGATTTATTGACTATTTGGAATTTTAGTGTGAAAGGTCAAAAAGATGATTAGTATTTAAAGGTACTTTTTCCTTGTTTTTAGTTAATGCTTAAAAATGGTGAGTGTACATTATTCAAGAGATTATTGCAAACTTTCACTTCTTCCATCATGATAGAAAATAACTTAGTTTTCATAATGTTTGGAGAACTGGAACCTGATCCCGTTTATCAGATTGAAAAATGCAAAAATGTCTGCAATTGCTAAATAACAATTTTGGCGTAGTTGGCCAAATACTTCAGTACATTCTGGTAGTAAAACTAGCTCTTTTGTCTTAAAGCCCACAGTTGGAAGGTACAAATTAATAAATCCTATTTTTCATACCTAGACCTGAAAATATCCAACTTTTTTATATTTTGCAGTCAAAGGAGCTGTAACAAACAATTTCTGACCGGGTTCTTCAAATCCAGATCAACCTTCCAACACAATGGCACAACAAAGTTTGGGAAAACATCAAGGTCACACAAGATGAAACAAAAAATTAATTACGCAAAAAGAAAACTGACAAATCTACATTTTTCTCAGATGAGCTATCTTAACTCTATTGCCTTTTAAAAATACCTTCAAAGAAATAAAATAGACCATTATTGTTCTCAATTTTTGGTGGATAATCGTTATTTTAGCAACTGGTGAAAAAATTGACACTTTTTTAAACAAGAGAAAAATATGTAAATTCTATCGAGTTTAAAAAAACAATTTTAACACAAGTTGCACATTATATTTTGTCTAAATTTGTTGGTATGGAAGAACATAAATATAATTATGTACTCAAATGTACTTACAACATTGATGTTAGAATTTTTGTGGCTGAGCTGTATTATTGTGGCAACGAGAAACACCTCAAAGTTTGATAAAGGAAAAGTACTCTCTATTTACATACTGTTGATCGTCTCCATAAATTAATAGTTGCTTTGTTTTTAAACAAAAATATTGTGTTCTATGTTGAAATACTACCTAACGTTTTAAAGGAAAGAATTAATTTAATACATCTATAGGTATTGTTCAGTTTATCAGTTGTCCTGGAGCAAGAAAAGTAGTGAGCAAAGTAAAATTTTAACTTTGCTCACGACTTCCCTCACCACTTTGGATGACAATAGAATAAAACAAATTTGCCAGAAAAGTGAGTAAAGTAAAATTTTGTGATATCAGCGGCTTTGCAAAACTAATTCTCGTGTAGCAAAATGCCACCTTCTATGCCAATGCCAACTGTAGACAAAATACATTGACAACAGCAGCATACCTTTTGGATATGTTCGGGGTGTTTCTCCAGCAGCCTCTCAAAAGCTCTCAACCTGTGTACAAGGCCCTTGGTGTAGTCCAGTCGGTCCACTCCCAGGATGATCTTCTGGGTGGTGTTGGTCACCATCTGAGGCGCTTGCTCTGCCAGCTCTACAAACCTGAGGGCAAGTGATATTAGTAAATTTCTCAGTCTATTCTTCAAAACTCATGTCTGTGGAAAAAACTGAAGTTTAAAAAAATGCAATAAAAACAAACTGTTTACAAAATATCTATGTCTATTTTGAATGACACCACACCATCAAGAAGATCAGTAGAGAGTAAAAAAAGTCATACAAAAAAAAAAACAAATGATAGCCTGATTCCAAAATTGCTCAATGCGATGGTGATTGTGTACCAAAATCTTGACTGATGAATATAAACAAAGCACTTTAAAATTAATACAGAAGGTTCATTACAAGGGCTGTTTGTAAATTAAGGTATCCATCAAGATCCCATCGCAGCAAAGCAAGTTAGATCAAATCTGACACCAATGCTATGTAAGTACTTGACTTTATCTACAACTATTCAAGCTGGTTCTTACCCCTATATGACAATTTATTCCGATTTATTTGAACCAAAAACAGTGTGAGGTAAAATTTATACTTCTGCCAAGTATGACTTTAATTTCGCTGTGATTGGGGGAAATTCTGGATCCATAATCGAAACTGAAGGTTGAAAACATTAAGAATCAATGAGTCCTCGTAAACACCGTTATTGAAGAATTTATGTAATTCAGGATAAAAATCAGCCCATTGGTTATAAAAACAACAAGAGTTCTATACAAACAAAGTTTTACAAGTGACATGATTACAGTGTTGGAAGCAGGTTCTGGACATCTCACCTCTGGTAAGGAATGCCGATGGGCAGTGGACGGACTCTCACAGTGCGACCTCCGTGTTCGACCAACAGAGACTTGCGGTCCACTCTGCAGCCTAGTCTACGCTGGCAACAGTCTACAAAGTTGAGGCAGTAATCTTCTATGTGGAACCCAACCATGTCACAGCCTAAAAGGGAATGCACAATTAATAAACTGTATTTGTAGAAAATATTTGGTGTTTATTATGTAACATTATTTATAATACAATATAGATGAAGTATTTCCTGGTTTACGGTGTAAGATTTTATCAGGGTCTTAGGGTTTTAACAAGTAATGACATATAACAAGTACCATCTCGACATGTCGTATTAAGTTCATTTTTAACTTATAGTATAGTAGGTAATTAAAAAGAATATAGTTTTTTACCAAATATTTTATTAAATTTTTATTATCTTGAAAGTAATGTGTAGGTCAACTAAGTTAAAATCAAAATGACTTTTGTTTGCAATACAATAACCAATTAATATTTTAAAATATTATTTTACTAAAATCAGCGAGCGTCCAATAAAGGAATCCGCTTGGAAAAAACAGAAAAACATTAACGAAGCTTAAGCAAAAAGATTTACAGTTGCAACAAGCCGGTAAGTAAGAACATTGATTTTAAATTCAATGAAGCGTCCTTGAAGTGACAGGTGGACGAGGGAATCAATGCCTTGATGTAACTCAAGTGTGTGAATCTTGAACAACATTTGTATTGGAAACTATATCCTCACAACCCTCTATGCTTTGTCCATACAAGTAAAATTAGTAAAAATACAATTATGATTTTACTACAAGTGTTAAAGTGTATAAGTCTATGTAAGACTAAAAAAAAAAAGTTGCTATCCAAAGCATTTTATTAAAAGTTATTTTGTTTGTTATATCAATTTAGGTTACTTTACTTTGTATCTTTATAAAGTTCAAATTTGAATATGGAAAATATTTAAACTTAATTCTGTCTTTTTAACTATATATAATTATTATGATAATGAGTCCTTAAGGTAAAATAACTGAGAAGAAAATACAGACTCACCCAACATTCCCTGGAGGATTTCATCGGCCCAGGGGAAGAGCCGGAAGATGTCCCAAGGAGGGAACGGAATGTGAAGGAAAAATCCAAGTTTCATCCTCAAGCCTAAGTCATCGCCTTCCTAGAACATTACATCATAAAACATCAGGGAAAGTGTTGTGAAGGTTTTTCATGACTTAGAACTACTTCATAGTGAAAAGAATGGATGTTCAAATAAAAAAATACTCTCTCATTTTCTTATAACCTAACAATATAAAATACCGTTTGTATTTTAAAATAAGAACAATATTATTGTGACTTGTACTAGATTTTAGAAATTGTGATCACTATTACTCCAAAACTATAGTAAAAAAATGCAAACTAAAACCTAAACAAAAAAGAACACCAATAATGCAAGTAAGATTGATTGAGTCAATCCTGGAATCAGTCTAAAATACTCTAAAGGGACAAAAGGTAAATTTGTTAAACTCTCCTAAACATACCCTTAGCATCAGTGGGTCTCTCTGGGGGTAATCTTGTCAAATTTTAGTTAAAAAGTCTATTAAATAAACTCAGGGATGGGAACACAATTATTTTAATGTAGGTATACCAGAACTCGCCTCGTTGTTAAAAACTCAACCAAAAGTATTTATTGTGCAAACTTCTATATTTTCATCCCACACTGTAAATAAAACATGTTAAATCTCCATAAGAAAAGTTGAATTTCCATTTATGACCCAATTAACAAAATATTCTCAAAATACAGATAAAACCTGCACTTATAGGACCGATAACGTTTCTTTTGGTATAACCAGTGTGTAAATCGGTCCAGTAGTATGGTCAGGGTGGATGTCGTAAGCTTAAAAATTTTGCCCATGTCCAAATACTATAAGAAAAGGTTCTCCATAAGAAAAGTTTAATTTCCATTTTTGACCCAACTAACATAAATATTTTTAAAATCTATTACTTATTTAATACGCAAGCAGGTTTTTTGTGACAATTACTCCTCCGAAACTACTGAACCGATTGAGATGTTTTTGGTGTCATTGGAAAGAGCGTAACGTGAAGTTATGCAGGAAACTTTCTTTTTAGGGAAATAATTAGAGAGTGAGGCCCTGGCGCCCTTTAAAGTTCTGTATTTCTCCATAAGGATAACATAGGAGATAATTTTTATTTACAGAAACATATGTTTGTTACTTGAACATAGTCAAAGTCTACTACATAATAATTGCTGTGTATTATGACTGTTAATGTATACTACATTTCAATCAAGGATTGTATACCTTATAGTTTACTCATAAGGGATCTTACTATTTTATTTTAATTCTGGGAATAGTAAAATTTAGTTGAGATTAAGTTACTACGATTTAGAAAGCTTTACTATAATAATTTATGTATTTAAAATCACAAATCTTTGACATTATTAATTCATTTGAAACAAAACAGCTGATCGACAAATCAAACAAATCATATACTTCATGTGAAATGTTGTTACACAATAGTTATTTGTGTAACTAGTGGTGAAAGTGGCACTTTGCTGCACACGAGAGCAATGTTTACGCACGAGCCGCAGGCGAGTGCGGAATGATCTCGAGTGCAGCAAAGGCCTTTTTCACTCGTGTTACACATTATATTTTTCCTACAGTCACTAATATAAAGCATATAAATAATTAGTCTTTCAAACACTATACAACACGTTTTTAGGTTCAGTTGGCAACACAAATGGTGCCCTAGAGAAAGTAGTACCCGCGGTCTGTATCACTCCGCTATTTTTCCTCGGCAAGAAATGTGCTACGCGTTTTGAGAATATAGTTCCGTATGTTTTTGTAATTTGAAGTGGTTTCCGTGCCAAAAAAAAATGCTTTAAAGGTATTTTCTTGTTTATTAAGATCGTAGGAATGTTTTAAAAACGTTTAAAAGAAAAGCCCAGAAAGTTCAGGAATACCGACACTATAAACACGAAATGACAGGTTAAATCGTAGTTATAATAGTCAATCAGCTGCTCATAGTATTATTATCGTTAAGTGTTGCCAACCTATTTCCAAGCGTACACGGATTACTTGCATAATAGAACCACGCTGTTTTGTGTTGTTTCGTTGGAATCCTGATGTGCGGCAAAGTATAAACCGTACGGCAAAGTATAAATATGCAGCAATTAGCAGCTTTCTGTACTATAAACAGTACAAGGAAGCCAACTTTGTCGGGTGACTGTAGGAAAAAATAGGTTACACAACCAATAACTTGATTCTTTTTTACTTGTGGGTGTATTTACTGTATTTTGAGTTTGCTGTTATGAAAGCACCAAGCCAAGTAACTTAAGCACTTTAATTAAAGAGCAGCACTGTTCTTACCCAGACCAATTTCAGTCATGAGTAACTATATTATATGTTGTTTTAAGTTGGGCTACATCTTTTAATAGGTTACACATATTCATCATGGGAAATTTTGACGAGGGTAATCTTCCTGAAGGTAACTTCAAGACTAAAATCGTAGTATTCATGGAAGTGCTTTTGTGGTTAAAATATTCTTTTTTAGTGTTTATTTTTCAAAGTGTTTTCTTCAAGCTGCATTTTATGACCCTCAAAATATGCTACATAGGCCTATTGGTTTGATATGACAAACAGTTTTGTTAAATGTGTTTAAAATTTTTTTTAAATAACTACCCTATAACATCCTTGAACACTTATTAATTCACTAAATAAAATACACATACAGCTAGAAAATGGCTGGACTGCTTCTCTTCTAAGGATTTATTATTACTGTATTTAGTTTTTTACTTCGAGCCAATATATAACACGATGAATTTGTTTTCTAAATTCATATGTAATTTTGCGGGGCATTGAGCCGCACAGGTTCACTAGTACAAATAAAACCTTTACATTATATAGGACAGATAACCTTTTTTTTGGTATAACCCGCGTGTAATTCAGTCCGGTAGATTGGTCAGGCTAGCTGTCATAAGTTTTGCTAAAGTTTTTTAATATATAAGATTAATTTGTTTATTAAAAATTATATTAGGCTAATTCATGTTGTGTGTATACTACTAAAAGTTCAAAACAAATTGTTTAAATATTTACTAAACTTCACAGTAACTTAATAATAAACAGTATACTATCTAAAACTTTTAGGTTTTCATCTACATCTATTTTACTTATCCAAAGAATGTTTGAATCAATGATTTATTCTTGATTACACATTGTAATAGGCTAGTTAGTTGTTCTCTGTAAACAAGTGATTTATTAATATTTGGTGCCTCCACTATATGGGTAAAACCAATACAAAAGAAGTCACTGAAGGTCAGTCGCTTTGTTAAAGGACAATTACAATGGGAAGACAGCATCTAACTGACAGGAAGTGTCCTTGATCAATGTCAATGTCATTCAGTCACTACCTCAGCTGATTGGAGCATAGTAGAATATCTAATCACTATCTTTCAATAGTCAATGTCGCTATCTAATATTATTTTTTAATTTTTTTTTACCAATTGGACCTCATACAGTTCCTTCCAAACCAAGCGGTTCTTGTTTCACAAAATTCTGAAACACTATTTTGTATTTGAAAACAAAAATTACTGTGTTTTTTAATCTATAAAAAAAAACTGAACTAATATTTTAACAATAGTTGTTGGAAGAACAAAATGTACAGAAATACTATCCCACAACATAAAAATAATGTACTGTCACTTTTCATTGAGCAATATACAAAATTTATTGTAAGAAACAAAAATTTACTCAGGAAAAAAGTATACGAACAATTATAGAAAACAAAAACAAATACAAACACACATTCTTAATAATTTAAAATATCTGTTTTACGATACTTTAATTAAAGACCATGTCCTTAAAAGAGGGTTTATGAAAAAAAAAATTATCAGAGAAGTTCTCATCAAGACATTCAAGTATGCCGTTGATAGGTGTGCGGTTTCCAGTTTTGTTTTGTTTAAAAAAATCCAAACATGGAATTTAATTTAACAAATAAAATTACTTGGCTCGTTTGTTTATATTTAAACAACTTAAATTTCACAAATGAAGTCGTCTCAGTTAGACGGAACAAGAGTTGACACAGAGTTTAAAATAAACTTAGTGTATGAGACACTGACTGACAGTTGTAAAAATAGACCGACCTGGAAGCTAGAATACAATCTGAGCCTTGGCTTTAATTTATGTCCAACTCTCTGACTGCTCAAACAGCCTTCTGAAACTGCTACTAGGAAATAGACAGAAACTACTTCCTCTGGCAAAACCACCTTCAACTTTGTTCTTGTGGTAAATGTAAAGGAAAGGTTACTTGGTTTTGTCGACTTGGAATAGTAAGAAGCTCCAAGTTAGCAATAAAGTAATGTGAATTATAAAAAAAAATTAGAATAGCCTTAATTAAATTGAAAAGTTAATTTTTTTATTTGAGAAGGAGGGGGGTTGTGTTTGTAGATTTAAAGATAAACTTTGCTATGTTTGTTAAGTTGTTCCTGTTCACTACTGTTGACCATCTAGTTTCTTAACTTTTTCAAATATCACAATTAGGGTTATTAAGAGGAATAAATTAGCTTGTAAAATTAGGTCTGTGTTAACTGAACATAACAGGAACCAGTAAATACTCTTAATCGTTTTGGAAACAACACTTTTTTAAGCTTAATGATCTTGAAACAGTTTAGTGGATTTTTAAATGGTGTACCTACTTATTTTCCATTCAATGGCTCAAAAAATACTAAGCTAACTTACCTATATTTTGCCTGTGGGTATACAACCAAAGGTTGGTTGATTATATTTATATTTTGACATATATTTATTTAGATAGGAGAATTCAAAACCCTGAATATATACATAATATATTAATATCAAACGCAGTTATAATTATTGTTTTTGTCTACACTATTAGAAATTTTTAGGTTTTTTATGAGAGAATGGTCCAAATCCTGGTCTGGCAGACCTTTTTTAGATAGCATATTTAATTAACCCCTATGACATCTGGTTCCAGAATCATGATAGATTAGAATCAAACCAGTGACAATCATGAGGCCAGTTAAAGCCAACCATGCTGTACCTGCTCGGCTACCCAGAAAATTAAAAATTATATGGTGTACTAAAAAATCATTAAGGGTCTTTTCAAAAAGAGGACCACCATATCAATAGTTGCTATATGCAAATGAAGATGATGTAAATGAGTTAGGAGTACTAACAGGGGTGTATACTGACAGAAACAACCTTATAACATTATACAGAGTATTATATTTTTGTATGCCATAAAATGTGGACTACCGATGCACAGACCAGTTCAGTTTTGGCATCTACATAATCATATCTGTATTATTACTAGCCCAGTAAATCTGTTAAAAAGGTTATGTAAAAATTAACATAAGGTTTAAGTAATAGGTTCTTCTTGAAAAGACCCGTCATTACTTCAGCTATCACATTCACTGGCATCTTTACAATAGTGTAAACACTTACATTTCTGATGGTGTTAGCTGCCAACATGAGATGGTAGTCATGAAGCCACACCAGTGGAGGCCCAGAGTCGGGACTGTCCGCTAGCTTCTTGAGAGCCACAATCGTCTGCGTAGCAAACTCCTGATTGACTTCACAGTACGCCTAAAACAAACACACCATCAAAGTGATCATTACTGAATCCAAACTCAAGGGTAAAAGTTATACTTGTTTATTACAGTGTAGTTTCAACAATTTTCTTGTTGATTTATTAGGAGATTACAGTTAGTAGCCTAGTTTTTAGACTATTGTCAAAGAAAGAACCTTGTTGTGTAGTACAATCACTGCCACCTATTTGTACCGTCGCCTGTCAGTCAGTAGGGCATAGAAGTAGTTAGAATTTTTTGTACATTGTCAACATTTAGATTCGTCATAAATAAAATTTATTTTATGTTGTTTGGTAGGGAGATTGTAAGTAATTTCTTCCTCTGATGAAAATCTGAATTTTTAAAGGTTTTTCTAGCTGGTGAACATTACAAAAGGTTGTAAGTATCAGTTTCACTAAAATAATTTATGATTAAAGTAATCTCAACAGGTGTATGTATGATTAAAATGTGAGTGATTTTCTAAGCCTTCTTTTAGAGGACCAGCGTTTCTCCAAGACCCATAGAAATTCTTCCGGACAATTCAGTCAGTTTTATCACAGACTCACAATTCAATCTTACCTAAATGACAAATCTATTTAAAACTTTAAATCTTCTTTAAACTTTTATGTGCATATGTTAAAACTACTAAAGCTTTTGTTTTAAAATAGATATTTTGCTACAATTAAGTTATCTCTCCGAAAAATATGTATTGGTGCAAATTTCAAAATAAAATATAACAAATATACCTTCCAGTGGTCAGCAGAGAATGCAGCTCGGTCAGGCATGGAGTGGAAGAGTGGCCAGAATGTGCCATTACAGCAGCCGTTGTAGTAGCTGTCAAACACCTGTGGGTCAACTCTTACTGCTATCACCTGGAAAACACAGTTAAGTGTTAAGGACATTGTCAATGAATCATTGGTATACACAAATGCATCACCCAATCAATGCAACTATTACTGTGTATTTCTTAATAAATATGCTATACAGCCACAAACAGATACAATGCAAAAAAGATGACTGATTTCTTGACATACCTAACACACAGATTAACGTTTTAGTTGTTAATAAAAAGTCAATTAAGTTATGTTTAGGTTATTTCATTTTCTTAGAAATAAGCAAAATAGACAGTGAAATAAGCTGATTTAGCGAGCAAGAATGAGTAAAGCAGAAATGAGATATTTTACACACTGTGTTTACAGGTGTGGCAATGTGATAATTTCCATGCAGTGGTAGGGAAAGACTATTCCATTATCTTTTAGATTCAAAATACTATGAAACTACACACTCTTTGAGACACTTTTGAAGACTTGATTCAAACAGGAATAAATGCCCTTGAAATGCAAAGTGTTATTGCTTAGCTATGAGATCTAAATTAACATACTCATGCAAATAGGTTTCTACATACAGATCAGTTAAAACGTGCTGTCTGGTTCTGAGCAAGTTAAAACTTTGCCAAAGTAATTCAAAGTATTAGGCACACATAGAAACAAATATAGATGGATTTTTTTATCATAAAAGGGTCTAATATAAATTTACATTTACTAACGTCTTCTTAGAAGAAGAATATCCCAGTGATTCGGAAAGATTTCCTGCAAGAAACAAGATCCCTAACTGAAATTTTTATATCTACAGTATTTTAGTATTTGCAATTAAAAATATTTCAAAACTGAATCACAGTCAAAACTAGGTGGTTGTGAAAACTCCTGCGACATGACAAACTGACCTTCTCAGACTTAAGTCCGGATGTAGGGGTCTGATCCTTGGGGTCTGACTCGGGTATTTTCTCATTGGGGTCTGTGAGGTGTATGCCAGGCCATCCCACCCAGATACCTTGGCATCTGACCACCACAGGGGCCACAGCTGTTACTAGACCTCCAGCACTGTGTAAACAAAACACTTGTTAACATTGTAGGCTGTTATAGATTACCACTTGTTATATCCACAGCTCATGTTGTGGAGCTTAGTCCCCACAACACTACAAATATTCAAATATCCCGTCTAAACTACCAATCTCAAACCCAGGGCTGCTCGCGCATGCGCGGGAGCAGGTCAGTAAGACAAGTGAAGGAACTCTTTGTCTGGTGTCCAAGTTCGTGAAGTCAGGATGCAGGGCTGAATTGCTTGGGAAATGGGGGGGACGCCCCCTTGAGGTTTTTGTGTCGTAGAGTAGTAGTAGTAGTAATATTAATTAATATGTAATTTCAGACCATGTAGTCAAATTCCCTGTCTCATTTATTCCGTCATTTATTATTCATCATTCATTCAAAATGTTAATTCACGTTGTTTCCAGTTGACTTATATATTAATATTCCATATGTTGAACAATCGAGTTATTTCTGTGTTATAAATGCCTTAATTAATCAAACAGTCATCAAAGCTGGCTCTTAGGGCCTGTGAATTGCGGTAAATTGTCTCCTCCGTTTAAATAATGTGTCCAGTTATCGTTTCCAACAAGAACGATTTGGTCAGGAACATAAATCACATGACCAGATCACCAAAGTGTGCATAAAAACATGCCACAATGTCGTTAGACGTGCCAGCCTAGTGGTTAGCTTCTTAGACTTTGTTGCAAGAGGGATTGCTAGGTTCAATTTCCGGCAAAAGCAAACAAATTTGAGGGATTTGGCCTGCATTCCCTTATAAACACTTAGGTTTCTCTAAAGGTTTATATTGTCAAAAATCCTAAATTAGGATTGATGATGTAAGGTATATGTAATCCTTTTTATATTTTACAAATAAAAATGTCACCTGTTTGATCCTGATAAAAGTCAGAAGCTTTTTTAAAGTTTTAAAATGAATCTAGCTTTCTCTGAACATTGGGCTCTTATGGTTCTGGCTAATGAACCAGCTGATCACCAACAAAGTTGTCATAAAATTTATTTCAACACATCCTTTACTCATTTTTGACTTAAAATCACACCTTGGCGTGTCAAGATCATATTTCACTTTAATCTACAGCCTATGCGTTAATTTAGTAATGTTATGACGTTTTTTTGTGGTTAAAGTTGACACATGTATTCTAAACAAAGGTGTCCACACATACAATAACTTGTAACTAGGATTTAAATTAAGTTACCAGCACAGCACTTTCGTTTGGGTAACTAAGTATTTGAAGTCATTGTAAAGAGTAAGAACTGGTGTAAGTAAAATTTTGTAATGTAAATACATTCTGATAAAATATTTACTATTAGTCTACATTTAGTAACTGCCTCAAAAAGGTAGTGGGTTCTTTAAAAAACCCTTACATAGTAAGGGTGTCTTTGTTTATTAACACCACTAGTATTGATAGTATTGAAGAGACTCACCTGGCCCCGTTTTTGGTTGGGAGATTGTGGGGAATTATTTTACTGAGTAAAATACCAAAAAATGATTTGTTAACACCTCTTGAGGCTATGTATTCTATTTAACTTGAAAACAACAATTTAGTACTTTGTATTAAGATGATAGTATGAAGAAGTCTTTGTTATGCGGCATACAAATGTATCCTAATTAATTTTACTTAATTAAAAATAGGACAATGATCTCTGTTCTGCTTTTTACACTGATAATGCACATCAAATGTCCACAGCAATAAATAATTGGATTTGATATAGTTATTCATAGTAAATTTTACACTCAAGTGACACATCTGCCAACAGCCTTGACAAAAAAACCATGAAAGCAATCAATTTGTATGCAGTGCTGAAGGTTGGAATTCAAAACAAGTTCTACAACCTGGGCCATTCAGCTTCTAAATGTGGTGTCAAGCAGTTTTCTTTCAAAAGAGAAAGGCCAGGAGAACATATATCTCTTGTGAGTGTGAATCAACTAAAAAACTATATGTAAAGGTGTTGAATACACATACACATTTGTAAAAAATGTTTGGTAAAAATATTTAATTCCTTTCTTTATACAAAATTACCTCCAACTTCAAGTAATTCTATGATAAGGCTAGGCTTATCTATTATGGCTCATGACATTATCCAAGGTACATAGGAAAACAATCTAGTTTATCTGCTGTTAATTGCTGGCTCCATATAACTGATTAGGAATGTTTAGTTTATAGAACCATAAGTTTTATGACTGACACATTATAAAATTAAGTACTGTAGAAAGATAAATCATTTTATACAGCCTATCACACATTGTATGCAAGATGTGAGCAAGCTAAGGGCCTTGCAACTTCCACAACATGAGCAACTTCCTTATCAAGAAATGGATTAAATATCTATATTTGCATCTTATGGGTTAAGCCACTATTTGGTAAACGCAACATTTTTTCAAGAGATTTTCAGTATTAACAACAGAACTTTACAAGTTCACATTGACGTTCTCAACCAGTTGAAGAGTTTTAAACTTTTGTCGACAACATTTCTTATATTTTATTGCCATTTTTGGTCTTTGTACTACCGATTAAAATTCAAATCAAACAGAAAACGCGCGAAAGCAAGGACCCAACAACGGCCAATCACGTGAGCGCGGAGTGATATGAACTTGTTAACGTCGTGGATGTCTTCCCAACGGTGACTTGGGGACCAGGCTTCGAGCCGTGATGTTCGGAAATCTTTAAATTCTCCTTTCAAAGTCAAAGTCAAAATAAACTTTATTCGTATGAATACATTGCAGCATCAGAATAGAGTCACATATAACTAAAAATCCCATACTTTCATGCTATATAGCTAAAATACAATATATTTAAAACTATATATAAAACCCAGGCAACCAGTAGTGGAGCCCTCACTTAAGGAAACTCCGAAAAAGAATAGAGAGCTTTATTAACAAGATATTCTTTCAGCAATTTTTTAAATTTATTGTAATTTTGCTCATTTCTAATTAAATTTGGCAACTGAGTAAAAAATTTGGTACCCATATATTTAGTTTTGTTTTTATAAAAATGCAGATTATGTTTATCAAAAATAATTTTATTTCGGGTATCATAATGATGCTTGGATTCAAAAAATATATCACTTTCATGTTCTTTGACATACTTTATTGTTTCTAAGACATAAAGACTGTAAACTGTCAAAATTTGAAGATCTTTAAATAAGTTTTCGACACTCTCTGTGCTTTTTAAACCTAACATGATTCGTATTGCTTTTTTTGTTTTATCAGAATTTTGTCCAAATTATATATTGAGGTAGCTCCATATATACAAATTCCGTATGCCAGATGAGAGTGTATTAAAGAATAATATATTGTTTTCAGCACTGTAAGGTCAGATATTTTTGACATTTGCCACAGTGCATATATTCCTGATGACATCTTTTTCACTACATTATCAACATGATCATTCCAAGATAGATGTCGATCAATGAAAAGTCCTAAAAATTTTGTCTGATTTGCTTTATTTATTATGTTATTGCCAACTTTGATTTTTGGATCCAGAGCTATTTTATTTTGTTTTGTGGAGAAACTTACTATCATTGTTTTGCTTGTATTTAATAGAAGGTTATTTTGATTTAAAAATTTTTGAATACTCATTAAGTCCAAATTGGCTGAGAGCTCAATATCAGAACTGGAATTTCCTTTAACAATTAAATTAGCATCATCTGCATATAGTGACATCGAACTGAAGCTGGTACTCTTAGGCAGACCATCCAGGTAACACAAAAAAAGTAATGGACCCAGGATGGATCCCTGAGGTACTCCATACTTAATCACCTGAGCTTCACAGACATAGCTTCTTAAATAATTACAATAATTACCATAATCTAGATATTTCATTTCAACAAACTGATGCCTATTAAATAAATAAGAGGAAAACCAAGCACACTCTTTTCCTTGAATACCCAGTGATTTTAATCTTTCAATTAAAACAGGGTGTGCCACACTGTCAAAAGCACGGAAGAGGTCAAGGAAAATACCCACCACCCTTTCACCCTTATCAACTGCATCAATTATGTTTTCAATAAATTCAACTGCAGCAGTTATTGTGGACTTCCCTTGCCGAAAACCATGCTGCTCTTTATCTAACAAATTATTCGATTCTAAAAAGTTTACTAACTGATTGTATACTATCTTTTCAAAAATTTTTGAAAAGGATGATAGCAATGAAACAGGTCTATAACAAGTTATATCTTTACGGTCACCTTTTTTAAAAATAGGGATAACTTTTGAAATTTTTAATTTATCTGGGAAATGACCTGAGATGAAAGATGAATTAATTAGATGAACTAGGGGTTTAAGTAAAAATTGTGAAGATTTTTTTATAAGGGTCATAGGAATACAATCGATACCAGTAGAATATTTATTGTCAAATAAAGAAATTACTTTCAGTAATTCCTCTTCTGTAATTGGTGTGAATCTGAATTTAGTATTAGTTTTTAGAGGAGGAACTTCCAGTTGCAGTGGGGGAATATTGGGAACCACAAATCTCTCCACTGCATTAACAAAGAAATCATTAAAGACTCTGCTAACTTCCATTGGTTTATTAATTAACCTATCATTGTAATTCAAACATATATTATTATTTCGGCTTTCTTTTTTTCCTAATTTAGTATTTATTATATTCCATGTAGTTTTAACCTTGTTAGAAGAATTTTTAATTTTGTTACTTATTTGACTTTTAGTTGTATTCAATAAAGTCTGATTTAGTAATACTTTTTTCTGCTTAATGTGTTCTTTTATTGCCTGATTTTTTGTTTGCCTAAACAAACTTTCCAAATCAATTATATCCTGTTTTATGGCTTTAAGTTCTGTGGTTATCCATTTTCTCTCCGGTTGAGTCCTCTCAGAAATGAACACCTTAGGAAAAGATAAATCAAAATAATATCTAAATAGTGAATCAAACACATGATACTTTCTTTCAACTGGTGCTTGGAATACCTCAATCCAAGTTTCTTTTGAAATGTACATCATGAAGTTTTCATAATTAGCTACATTGAAAACCCTACCTTCATTT